TGATAAACGTAATCTCTTGAACACATCCACATAACAATATTGTAGTGGGCGTGACAAAACGACTCGACAGCGCCACCTAGAAAAATTAAACAGACGAGCCCCCGAGCTACGAATCACGCACATCCACGAAAATTGGCACACACCTTAAACATGCCAAAACATACGAAAAAGTCTCTTGGAGCCATATCTCCAACCCAACAGGAAGTCAGATATTTTTGACTTCCTGCGGCGAAAAAGTGGCGTTTTTGCCATTTCCAGGTGTTGTATTTTAACGAACTCCTCCTAGGGATTTTATCTGATCGACACCAAAATTGGGTTTTGTCATCTAAAGGCCTTGGCGATGTTAAATTGCGAAGCTTTAGAGTTTTTGTCGATGGGCGTGTCCGTGGCGGCCTCGCAAACTTTGACGATTCGCCACAAAACAGGAAGTCGTTATAACTCAGGCATGCATTATCCGATCTGCTTCAAATTTCACACGTTTGATAAGAGTCCTGACCTGAACACGTTTACATGCCGATATCCAGATATAGTTATAGCGCCACCTGCTGGTCACAGGAAATGACATGTTTTACACTGTAACAAACTCCTCCCACAAATTTTATGGTATCAGCACCAAATGTAAGTGGTGTCATCTGAAAGCTCTAGCGATGATATATTGTGAAGATCTAGAGTTTTTGCAGAGGGGCGTGTCCGTGGCGGCATGACAAACCTCAACGCTTCGCCATGGAACAGGAAGTCCTCATAACTCAACCACACAAAGTCCGATCAGCCTGAAACTTCATATGGTTGATAAAAGTCCATCACTGAACACATCCACATAACAATATTGAAGTGGGTGTGGCTATATGACTCGACAGCGCCCCCTAAAAAAATTAAACGGACGAGCCCCTGATCTATGAATCACGCACATGCACGAAAATTGGCACACACCTCAAACACGCCAAAACATACGAAAAAGTCTCTTGGAGCCATATCTCAAACCCAACAGGAAGTCGGATATTTTTAACTTCCTGTGGCCAAAAAGTAGCGTTTTTGCCATTTTCAGGCGTTGTATCTTAACGAACTCCTCCTAGGGATTTTATCTGATTGACACCAAAATTGGGTTTTGTCATCTTAAAGCCTTGGTGATGTTAAATTGCGAAGCTTTAGAGTTTTCATCGATGGGCGTGTCCGTGGCGGCCTCGCAAACGTTGATGATTCGCCACAAAACAGGAAGTCATTATAACTCAGGCATGCAATATTCGATCTGCCTCAAAATTCACACATTTAATAACAGTCCCGACCTGAACAGGTTTACGTGCCGATATCCAGTTACAGTTATAGTGCCACCTGCTGGCCACAGGAAATGACATGTTTGACACTGTAACAAACTCCTCCCACAAACTTTCCCATATCAGCACCAAAATAGAGTGGTGTCATCTGAAAGCTCTAGCAATGATATATTGTGAAGATCTAGAGTTTTCGCAGAGGGGCGTGTCTGTGGTGGCATGACAAACCTCAATGCTTCGCCATGGAACAGGAAGTTATTATAACTCAAACACAAAATGTCTGATCTGCCTGAAACTTCACATGGTTGATAAAAGTCCTCTTCTGAACAAATCTACATAACAATATTGAGTCAGTCATAGCGCCACCTGCTGGCAGTAGGTACATTGTCTTATAACTCAACCACACAAACTCCGATCTGCCTGAAACTTCACATGGTTGATTAAATTCCATTACTGAAGGCATCTACATGCCAATCTTAAGTCACAGTTATAGCGCCACCTGCTGGCAGATGGTAGTTTGCAGTATAACTCAACCACACAAAGTCCGATCTGGCTGAAACTTCACAAGGTTGATAAAAGTCCTCTCCTGAGCACATCTACATAACAACATTGAGTTTGTTATAGCGCCACCTGCTGACAAAAGGCAGTTTGGCTTATAACTCAGCCAAACAATGTCCGATCTGCCTAAAACTTCACATGGTTGATAAGATTCCTCTCCTGAAGACATCTACATGCCAATCGTGAGTCACAGTTATAGCGCCACCTGCTGACAGGAGGAAGTTTGGCATAAATCTGTGATTTTTCTCAGATTTTTTAAATATATTGGCTTAAATTATTACTGTTCGCTGTTCTCTGTCATACTGAGGCCACCGGGTGGCGGTGAGCCCGGGTGCGAGGTCCCTATCATCGCTGCTTGCAGCTTTAATTATAATTAGCACTGCTTGTGTGCATTTCCTCTTCTTGTTGAATCGCTAGATGTCTCCTCAATTGTAAGTCAGTTTGGACAAAAGCATCTGCTAAACGACTAAATGTAAATGAGCCAAGGTAAGATTTACACTATTATGGTGTTTAAGGACTGAAAGAGCTAAAAGGAAGGAAAGGGATTCCCTAAATTAAGTGATTCAGCAGCATTAGACTTTAGAATTTAATAAAGTGAGCGTGTTTAGCCTCAGAGACAGAAAACTGCAAGTAAATTTGGTCTGCATCACTAACTCAAGACTGTTAATGTACTTTGAACTGTCTCTTTCTAGCTGCCTAACTTGTGTAAATAATAAATGCACTTGCTATAACAGTCCTCGAAAGTGAGAATGTCAAAATGGATTCAGTTTATCAGATACAAATGCACCATAGAAGTATGCTTGTGCCAAATAAACAATGACAAAGTAGTGATGTCACAATTACCAGTTTCAGGTTAAACCATGGTACATTTTATAATAGTTCATACCACGATATCAAATTGTCATGATCATAAAAACTGTGATTGATAATCGCAATTTTGAAAACTCACTGTAAATCCTATAGCATTAAGATTAGCTAATCGTTAAAGGCTGCAATGTAAATGCATGTTTATGTAGACAGTTATTACAAATATATTTATATATTACATACAAGTGTTTCCTCTAGGATTGTTTCCAGTTGTGGTGGCAGGTCTTTTACACAGATCTTCTAACTACATGACAAATGTTGTGAGCATAGAATCATGTAATAAGAGCTTGCAAAACTCTGTTTGCACGCCGATTTCTGATGTTTGTGCACAAAACTTCTTGCGCCTTCTCAAATAGGCCATTTTGAGGGATGTAAACAAAAACAATGGTCTCAACGTATTTCCTGTTTTACATTTTTAATTTCTATAGCTTCTATAACATCCAAAAAGAGCCACATATTGATAAATAATGTTGTGAGAGCTGTTTTAACATTAAGTTATGATTGAATTGCTTCTTGTTACAGTTATGAAAAAGTTTGATAACAAGCAAGAAATAGGCCAATTACATGACCACATTGAAATGGTTTATACATGCTGGCCAAGCGCATTTCTTCTTGTAAACTCTCAAAAAAAAAAAAACCTGTGGTTTGGTGTGTTTGTGTAACATGTATGTCACCAAGAGTTATTAGATTTGCTAGGAATATTTATAAATTTCTCTCTAATAGACCTAAAGAACGGCCTGAAGTAGAGTGAAATGGACATAAACTCCAGCAAGATAAAGTCATTGTATGCAGAACCACAGACATTTATCTATAAATAAAATATAGTTATGGAAACTGTTCATCATATCTGAAAGCTATGCCATGTTTGCTGGCCTAACACATTGCGCAGCCTTATCAGTCAGTCAGCATGTAACTTTAAAGGGTTAAACAAATATTGCCCAGCACTACTACGATTACAGAGAAGTTCAACTGTTATAATTAACTTACATTTTAATATGTCTTGGTGCGATTACAACCCGCTATAAAAATAGCAACAATTGAAGGTTTTGAATGAGAAGCTGTAATGTAGCCGTGGCGGGAATGAATTTTGGTGTAATGCCCCGCCATAAAAGTACGAATGTAGTAAAAACCATGTATACACTGATAAAGTATGTTGCACTCCTTTTATTTAAAGAGTGTGCTGCACAATATTGATTTTTTTTATGAAGCAGTAGTTTTGTGACAAACTAAGAAAACATGGATCTCCGTGTTTGCATGTGCCAGTTAAAAGGCTGATTGATTTAGAAAATAAAAATGTACCTATAACAATACACAAAAAAAAAAAAAACTATGAACATAAAATAATACAAACATAAGTAAACAAATCCATAATGCAGAGATCCACTTCAATGCTGCTTGGCACAAAATCACATTAAGCTGCCAATTTGTTGTTGTTTGTTGATTTTAACACACAAAACTTAGTGGAAAGTGTGCGAGACATTTATTTATGAACATTTTGAGGCTCATGTAATGTAAATAATACATGTAATAGGTCTACATTAATGTGAAATGAGCTAAATATAGTCTTTAAAATTGTCATAGGTCTCAGCAATATTCACCTTATTCTCCATGGGCGCAGCTTGGAGAGCTCATTCACTTCCATTCATTTTTAGACGTTAAAAACAGCTCGTTTTGCAGTTTGATGTTGCAAACTGATATTTGCTTATTATCTTATTCTATTTTGTGTGTATAGTCATGCAAACACTTGTTTGTAAAGCAAGAATTTTGACCGTTTTCTGCCGTTTATTATTCCTTGTAATTTCGACCATAGGCAGCTGAATCGGAAGTTCAAAAACTATTGCAAAAACAAGCGCATTTTCGCACTGAAAAAAACACAACACAACCCTATTTTGAGCCATTTATAACAAAACTGTGATAACTTTGGTCCCTATTATCATTATATGAACTTTTCAAACATCTCTATAATATCTTCATTCATACTTCTTTAGGTTTAGTCCCTTATTCAGAGGTCACCACAGCGGAATGGGCCGCCTACTAGTCCAGCATATATTTTGCATAGCAGATGCCCTTCCAGCCACAACCCAGTAATGGAAAACACACATACAGTCACACACACTCATAACTCAACACTCGCACACCAATTTAGTTTACCCAATTCCCCTATAGCACATGTCTTTGGACTGTGGGAGAACCAGAGCACCCAGAGGGAACAAGAGGAGAAAATGCAAACTCCACACAGAAACTGACCCAGCTGGGACTCAAACTGCTGCTTTAGTATTTTTTATAATAGTAAAAAGTATCCCCTACCTGGGTGTGGAAGTTAGCAATGGTGGTGGTCTCGATGTCCTTTTTACCAAGGATTTCCACCTTGACAGGTGTGTTTGGGAAATTGAAGGCAAAATAGTCCAAGAAGTCGGGCAGGTATGCAGCTGCTCCATGCACCACAGCGAGCGCGTAACGTGCAGCTCCTTTAGGCTGTTCAGCAAAGGCCAGTTTCATAAATTCCTGGGCAAACTTTTCCGTTTCTCCGGGCCGAAGTAAGGACAGTTCATCGGCATAAGCATGCAGTACGGACGCCCCTCCGTTGGGCTGCTTTTCCTCATGGATGAGTCTGCTGAAGCAGGTGTTGGTTTGAAGCCACGAGCTGCGGATGTAGTGGTCTTGATGTGTGAGGAACGGCTTCTTCGCCTCTTTAGGAGCGTCGTACTCCCCTAAGTCTTTTTCTTCTTTGATGTACGCATGTCCCACAGGGTCTTCAGAAAGCGGTGGAGTGTCTCCTGAACACACCGTCTGGACCTCCTTATGGTGCATCCGTAACTTCTTGCCACGCTCATCTTCGCGATGCCGCTTCTTCTTCTTCTTTTTCTTCAGTAGGTATTCCTCCAGGGTCTGGGTTTTGCCATTCTCGCCGTGGGGCTCTGAATAGATTAGGAGAGAAGGCAGAGCATCAGATAAATATCACTTGTTTACAGTTCTAGGTGTTTGTCTATGTCACAGATGTCAAATCCATTCCAGGGCCGCAGCTCTGCAGTTTACATCCATCCCTGCTTCAACGCACTTGCCTGTAGGTTTCAAACAAGCCTGAAGGACTCGATTAGTTTGATCGGGTGTGTTTAATTAGGGTTAAAGCTAAACTGTGCAGAGGACTGGATTTGACACCTGAGGTCTATGTAAATAATAAACATAAAATAGACAGGGCTTCTTGAACATTTTTAAGTACATTGATGGTAATGAAAATATAATACAGCCCTAGACATTTGTCAATCCTGAAATATTATAATAGTATAATACAGAGTTTGAGGAGAGTTTATGAAGACAAACTTAAAATATATTAATAAAATACAACAGCTTTAAACAACTCTCAGACACTGCAATATGAAAATAACCTTTACTATACCGCCTGATCGCACTGTATAAAAGAGAAGCTTTTAAGTACTTTACTGAAAGACTTCTAAATCAAGACAATTAATTTAGAAGCAAAATGATTCAAGTCAGGCATTTTTTAAAAGATATTTGTTGTCATTTTTTAACAAACTCCATACTACAGTTCAAGTTGTTAGAACAGCTTGCATCTACTTTGGGTTAAGAAAGTTCATATATTTATATTGCACAACAAAAACTTATAAGCCTAATTTTTTCGCAGTCAATGTATTTTTTAATGGCATGACTTTCTATGATTTCAACCTCTTTTTAAAACATTAAGTTGTAAAAGAAACGCATTAAAACTTTTTTAAAGCTGACAGAAATCTTGACATCTTTGTAAGATACTCCAAAGCGAAATCTACATTCATTTACAAACCATAGTGACCCCAGTTTCAGCCACAATTCCGTGAATACTACTGATGTTGTTACTAACTAATTAATATCAATTCTATTTCTTAATCAAGAACACTGGTGGTAGGAAGTTACAATCATAGTACAAAACGGTCCTGTGATAGAGTACAGGCTGATTTCTATATAGAGTACATGAAACTGCAATACACATTAAACAATAGCATGGCATTATTATTATTATTGTATGTTGTTAATGAATCAGTATGCTGTTATGCAATCAGTATCAGGGATACTAAACAGTAAACATGAAAGGCGAAAGGAGAGCGCCTTTAGTGCTGAGAGACTGAAACAATAAGTTATATTATTAATTTAAAAGCACTCTCGCGGGTGTGAAAACTTTCTTTTTCGCTCATATTGAGCAGAACTGTTCTTCTGCACGTACAGTGAGCTCGTGTGAATGGGGGCGTGCTCGCGCATGGGTTAGCAGCGAGGCTAACGGCACTTTCTCCGCACACTTCTCAGCTTGGAAGTCAGCCAGAAATGTAAAATGGTTTAGCTCGCGTGTAAACAACGATAAAATTACCTTTCTTTTTCTTGCACTCCCCCACTTTGACGTTAGCCTCGGCGTTTTCCTTCTTGGGCTTGAGTTTGGCGTCCTTCTCGATGTGTTTGGGCTTGTTGTTGAGGGGCTTGGCCTTCGCTACTTTGAGCGGCGTGAAAGTGAACAGCGGGGACGGCGGCTGGACCGTCTTCTGCGGGACGTGGGCTACTGCTGCTCCTGCTGCTGGTGTGACTTTGCGCGGCGGCCAGACCGGAGGTACTTCTTTCTTGGAGCTGTGGTTGTGATGGTGGTGGTGGTGGCGGTGTGGCACGAGTGCCTGCTCTTTGCTGAAGTTGCGCGCTTGGTTGTTCTGTTGTTGGTGCGGTGGATGCGCTCGTTGTTGCTCATGTTGGTGACTGTGTTGGTGGTGATGTAGCTTTATTTTCTTTGCTTCCTTCTCCGATCTCTCACGCTTGTCATCGGGCGGCGAACATTCGCGTTTTTTCTTCTTTTTCTTTTCTTTGGTGGCTTTGTCAAAGCTGTCCCTGCTCTTCTCCTCTACTTTGACGCGCAGCAGATCGACCTGTGCAGCCATTTTGCACGTAAATTTAAAAGGCTTTAAGAGGGACTTTTTGCGCATGTCAACTGGGAGTTGTAGTTCTTGTGCGCGTGGCCAATCGGAGCTCATGCGTTTGTAGTTTTTCCGCTTATAATGCGCATGCGCACAACTTTTAGCTTTGTGGGAAGTGTTGTTTCCGCGATGCCCTGCTTCTTGGGCTGCGTGCGCTGCTGCACGCACCCGTCCGGTGACTGACGTAATGCTGAAGCAGATTCACGGGTCTGGGCGGTTCCGTTTCGCGGAGAGGAGGTTCATTTCTATGCGCTCACAATCAGCAAAACAGCCACAGACAACATCCGGATGGCCATCGTGGTTGCGCGGTCTTAGATTAATATGAAGGGGTGTTAGACAGGACGTTGTTTAGCTTTTTATACACGCAATTTTTTGGTTTATTATACATTAGATAGATCAGACAGACGTCTTCGGTTACTGCGGCATGAGCATCGCGTTTTTGAGCCAGGCTGTCTGTCAAATTAAAAATAGCCATGTCCGATTCGTGAACGAGGCGTTCTTGAGAGTCGGATATTTTCAGTCGGATCTTTTTTTGTTGAACCTGCTCATAAAACTGATTTGAACGATTCATCACAAGTCGAACTGCATTGGTTCACGATGCTTTTGGGTCAACAACTCGACTGAGAAACAAAGCTTAAAGTATTTATTTGAAGTAGAAATTTACTGATTTGAATAAAAAAGGGTAATGGTAGCATTTTTAATTGTAAATTAGATTTAGGATCTAAATGACTACAGACTCAATTATGATGTAATTTAGGTTTGTTCATGTTATGACGTAATTACATTTCAATAGAACTGAGTCGCAGAATCGATTTGTCTTTTTCTTTGATGTGAACTCTTCCAAAGTGTTTGTTCACGATGGTTGATTTCCCACTTCTGGTGTTTCCTTATAAGACAATTTCTTTATTATTGTTTTTCTTTGTTACCCTGACAATGCGTTTGTACTCTGTGTCTGTAGTGTATACTTACTTTATTCTGTTAAATAATAACCCCTTAATAAGTGTGAGAAAACCATGTTTTTTTTGTTTCAATAAGAATAGAGATGTGAATCTTCATTTGTTTCACAATTGAATTTGATCACTATTTAAAGCAGTCGTGTAGCCAGTCTATTGAAAGGGGTGCTTCCTTTTTTTCTGAAAAAAGTGGACATTTTTGCAGTTATCCAACTCATTTTCTATTAAATTATGCAATTTAAATACTGCATTTTAGTGACATTTTAAGCACTGTATTTAGCTGGATTAGCTTGTCGGATGGTCACCATATGCACACTTTTTGATGTACCAAAAATTTTCTAATGATTTAGAATAAAGAAGTATGAAGAGGCTATTACTTTTAGGCTAGTTCATGATACATCACTAGGGGGTAAATAGCAGTCTGTTAAAGTTTTAAATTTAAAACTGAGCTATTGTCATTTATTTGGCAAATAACAAACTGGCCAGCACATTCAACTTTCCTCTGTCTCAGAACTTGACCATTTTAATAATAAAAAATAAACATCATAATAATAATGTAAGTCTTCATAATTTGTCTAGCTTTTCCTGTAAACAAAAAGTACATTTGAATATTTCTGGATAACAACAATAGCCTAATAAGTATTAATATGTACCACTTTTGGTGCGTCACAACTTTTTTTTTTTTTTTTTAAGAAAAAATGACCAATAAAAAGGTTAGACATTTAGAATAAAAGTAACTTTTAAAATGTTTTCTTAATAACAATAATACAGTGAAATTTGACTTTACTTGCATCAGAATCTGCTTGGTCTTAAAGCCTTTTTCAATGAGTTATTTTGATAACTTATGGTATAACAAGTCAAAATAAGACAAATGAGCTTATGTATAGGACAAATTCTGCATCTTTGTCAGCGAACCCCCTTTCTACGGGCCTGTAGAGCGTAATGATTCAATAATAAAACAATTCTTGAAACATTATCATTCTTTCCAGTTGTTTTCATTGCTATATTGATAGATACAGCATTGTTATGTCATTCTTAATAAATGCAAAGAAGACACAGATCCAATACATTTAGTCATTCGGTTTAGTCCCGTTATTATTCAGGGGTCACTATACAGCGGAATGAACTACCAACTAATCCAGCATGTTTTTCACAGCGGATGCCCTTCTAGCTGCAACCCATCACTGGGAAACACCCATACACTCGCATTTACTACAGCCAATTTAGCTTGTTCAATTCACCTATAGCGCATGTCTTTGGACAAGGAGGAAACCGGAGCATCTGGAGGAAACCCATGTGAACACAGGGAGAACTCCACACAGAAATGCCATTTGACCCAGCTGGGGCTTGAGCCAGCAATCTTCTTGCTGTAAGGCGATCGTGCTAACCACAGAGCCATCATGTCACCCCATATCTAATACAATAAAATGAAATTAAAATACTAGTTTTGCATCTATTCAACATGCACAACTAAGCAAAACACAAGCTAATTATTTACACAATGCCTGATATGTAATTTGGTTTTAATAATTAATATGGAAAACATTCAGGATAAAAAGAAACATTTGACTGCTACAATGAATTCTGTTTTTTTTTTTTTTTTTTTTTTTTTTTTTAGCTATATACATTATTATTCCCTTTAAAAAAAAAGGTTTAATGACATGAAATCATAAATTTACTGAATCATAGAGGCACAAAAAGATGTTCTTCAGTAAATCTTTATTCATCAGTGCATGAACAGAAGGTCATGACCAGATTCATTTCTTTAACCTTTTTCTCTCTATATATGCTCATACTCTCAATTACTTAAAAAAATAATGGAGCGATTTATAGATTTTTTTCTTTTTCTCGTGTTTTTTCCCCTCACAAAGGCAAATTTTATACAGGTGCTGTACATTGTATTTTTTTTATAAACATTTACAACTACCACAATGTAGAGACCACAAGGCTTTTTTGTGTAAGATAAAGCAATGCAAGGCCACAGTATCATACATACAACCTCATGGTGTGAGATGCGCTAGAGAAACAAGCTACAAAAGGGTTGAGAATAATGATCGAGGAGCAATCATAAACCCGATTATATTCACATTTTTATTATGATAAAACATAGAAGCACTGTAGCATGTGTAATGTTTGATTAACGCCTGCTTATGGACAAAAATACTGTTATGAAAAATATTTGCATTTATGTTTGAATCTTTGTGCCAATTGTTTGAGGCTTTTAAAATTGAATAGCATCTGTAATATTTGGTACTTGATTCTGAGCTACATTTCCCTTGAATAGAAGACGGCATCTTGACATTAAATAGGACAATCTGAAAGACACAGATGCGCAAAGACACTTTAAATGAACAAGAAGTCCCAGTATTGGGATAGCAATGCAGTAGGAATCATTTGATCGAGAGTAATGTGCTAAAAAGAATAAGAAAAAATATATGTTCGATTGGATAGTATGCAAAAATATATCCGATATTCTCCCAGTTCTCATTTCACCTTCTAATTAAACGAGCAAACATTTGATCCCACACACACACACACACACACACACACAGACATACACACCTCACAAACGCACCACCGAGATAAACCGTAAAAGCTATAGCACTGTGAAAAAATATGTTTGTTAGGAAGCCGAAAGAGGTTATCGGCAAGCTGGAACACTAATAAGTGACCTGGCTCAGAATGGATACAAATAGCTATACCTCTATACATATATATGCTTATATCGTCATATTAATTTCAATAAATTACATATGCGTCTTCATAAACACACAGGAAGTAAACAATAACCACAAGTTTCTGGTCTTTCACCGCAAAACCGATTAACGCCCCATTTATAGTATCTTTAGGACTGTTGCATCGTTAGAAAAAGTTGTTGTAAGGACATGCGGCAAATAAAAGATGGACAATTAATACATATTCATACACACATTTGCTTTAAACCTTCACAGAACAGCCATCCTTCATGTTATCGACAAAGGAGCAAGGAGACGGGGACAAATTCGTAGCTGCAGTCCGATTGGCACGAAACAAAACTGAGGCATGAGAGATGGCGACAGTCGTACAAAACAACAACAACAACGTAATAATAAAATGCACAGTGATTCACATGGACGCATCAGACTCCATGCACTGGAGGCTGAACCCTGGTGGAGCTTGGGACTTTCCAGGGACCTGGAGTTATGGGGGCTTTCTTGGCCGAAGGGTTGCCACCATTCTGGGGAGTCTCTGAAGGTGCTGCCTTGGAGTCTTCGTCCCATCGAGGGCTGTCCAAACCTCTGTGGTCCTTCCGGTTGATGGTCCCGCTCTCGTTGTGAGGTTTCTGAGGCTCTGCTGTCTTGTTCCTCTGGTATCGCTCACTGTCTCCTCTGGAAACCTCCATTGCCCTGTCCTGCTTCTGCGCAGGGTCCTCATCTTGGTGTCTCCTTCCAGAGCTAGACCTCAATCCATCAATGGCCTTTTGAGGCATTTCCTGTCTGATGTTGTCCTTCTTGGTTTTCCTGGGGCTGGAGGATCGAGGTTCGTGTTCACCAGGGTAAGTCTTTTTTGGACTTCGCGAGCGCTCTTTTCCGTCCAGTTTTCGGGGGATCGCCAAGTTGTCATTGGTGTCTCGAGGCATGCTCGGGTCGATCTTTCGAGTCTGCTGTTTGGCGTCTCTGTAGTGTTGGTGGAGTTGCCCATAAGAGGTGTTGAGCAGCTCCTCGGTTGGAGGGGGACTGACCGCAGGTGAGTGGGAAATGAAGGATGGAGATGCTGGTGTCGAGGGCTCACTGGATGCAGAATACCTTGGAGAGTTTGCAGATGGACCTGTCATCAGATCTTGCATGTCTGAAACAAATTCAACACAGGAAAATTCTAAGGATTTAGGAAATGGAGAAGGACATTAAAACTTAATGAACCCAGTTTGAAGAAGGGTTGGGAGATTAATTGAAGGCGATGCATTTGGTCAGTAAAGTGGGTTCTAGTACACGTCCAGCACGTGCTTTCGGATGGAGCAGTATTTACTACACAGAGCTGTAGTACTGAGAAGTCACACAACATTTTTATTTTAAGCCAAATTTGATTAATCAGACAATAATGACATCGAGATTTAGCAAATGGAGAAATATATTTAAACTTATTTTATAGGTGAACTCAGGCTCCATTTACACAAATACAATTTAGTTTTAAAGCGGTGTTTTAGAATGAAAATGATCTTCGTTCACACTCGAGTTTCACCCAGCATTTCTGAACAACTCTTCGTCCACACTATACCGCTGAAAACACACCAAATGACCACACACACGCTGGCATGCACTGCAGTGATGAGCGATCAAGGATCTAGTGCTTGATATAATCTCACTATATTTGTTAAACGTGATATTTAATTAATCTTGTTGTCTATATTTAATGACATATTCCCCGACTTTGTTCTTTTGAATCCATTACTTGTTCTCAGATAATGTGTTTTGGCTGACAGCAAAGATAAGTTAATATATTAATTAATGTAACCACATACAATGATTTTACACATTTGACTGATTGCTTGCCTTTATTTTCTATATTCTATAAACTTATTGTACGTTATACATTTATAATGGTCATTATTGATTATTAAAACTGATGTTCATTAAAAGAAACAGGGTATGTTTCATATTTTCAATGAAAATGAAAGGATGCAGTTATGTTATAGGCTCTGTTTTGTTTTACATATGCATACAGTGGAGATGACGCTCATATAAACATGTAGCTACACGGCGCCTCAACATTTTTAGTGTCTGTTAAGTTGCTAATATCAAAATGAAAACAGGCAGTTCCTTATATCATGTTTTCATTTTATTGTTAAGAAAGTGAAACAGCGTAGCCAGGGTGATGTGAATGAAGTTATAAAGTACACTGTTCCCTTTGAAGATTTATCCGTGTCCTCTGGAGTTTGTTTTCCATATCAAACTTGCAAAGTCTGAAGTTAAAAGGAAAAGATACGAGACTGATTTTGTATAGGCTACATAATATTGAGGAAAAAGCCCCAATCAGATGTCTGCAGCCACACCTTCATTTTCAGATGTCTCCATTTTGCCCATCCACACTGAGATGGAGCAGCAGTGTTTTAAAATGAAAATGGCCTCTTCAGCTTTTTCAAAAAGCTCTGTTTTCGGCACCCAAAAACTTAGGCGTAGTGTGGACGAAAGGAGTTACTGCAGCAAAACTTATGGGTTTTAAAACTAAATCTTGTTAGTGTAAACAGGGATTAATCGAAAAAAGATTTTCATGTGTATTTTGTCCAGAAAGTTTGTAGTAAACCTCCAGCACATGCTTTCAGATGGAGCAGCATTTCGTACACAGTTTTAGTTCACTCATAAGATGCACAAACATCGCTTTTAAAATCAAACTCATTTTAATCAAACAATAATGGCATTGAGATAATTGTTCTGTAATAAAGACAAGAGTTTGCGTAGCTTCTCAACAAACTATGGCTCTGTGTAGTTGTATTAGTCATACTGTATCAATGAAAGCAGTTAACTCTTTTTTTAATTCAGCAAACATTATTGAAATGTCCAGGATTTCATAGGTATTTGAAGATTCTGTGTAAGCGCCCTCTGGCTTTTGGTGGAAATTTTTTTACTACTAATCCTTGACAAGATGTACATGACTACCGAATTTCTTTTCGATTAATCGCGCAGCCCTAGTTTGCAGTGTAACAGGTAAAGGACAGATCAATCTTGTGTGCACTTCTTTCTCCTCCCCTTAATGTCCTCTTTGTTTACACTTATATAAAGTAGTGCTATAATGCTATAATATTCAACTAATAAAATATAGCCATCAGAAAGTTTATCCAAAGAAAAATGAAGGTAGATCCATTATGTATTTGGCAACGTTTATATGTGTTCAGCATTGTAGATTAAATGCACATTGATCATAAAACCACAAAATCATTATTATGGTCTAATAATAGTTAAAATAATAACACTGGAATCTACAAAATAATGTATATTTATATATACACACACATTTTTTAAACATTACTATCATTATTGTGTAAATACATTTTGAAATAATGTGTATTGCAGAAAAAATGGGTACATAAATAGCCTAAATATGACTATGATTATGTCATCTTATCACGCAGAGGCAGGGTTATCCATATTGATCTGAATTACAATTAAATTAAAGACAAAGTTGATTTTAAAGTACCAAAATTGAGTAACTAAGAAATAAATAAAATAAAAATATAATTAAATATGCTCATACTACAATACATTTATTTCAAAGCCATTTATGGGAATCTGATTTTGAGGATGAATCTGGGGAGGGTTTTGAATCTTAGGCTGGAATTTTTTTTGGAACCTGGCAACCCTGCAGTGGCGCGGAAGCAAGATCACACAAAAGAATGTTTGTGGATTTTGATTCAACTGCAAAAACACCAGCAATGATTCATTTAATCTAGCAAAGTGTCTAATAACAGAATACAAAAAAAAAAAAAGATTAATGCATTTAGCTGGTGATTTAATCTGAGGCAATGCGCTTTTAAAATTTTACACACAATTGTAAATCTATTTTATCTATAAAACACTATAAATGTAAGTTTGTGTAAATCTTTTTTTAATAGTAGGGAAAAAAGGATGAAGTGCACATTTACATAGTAGGAATTGGATTTTGTAAATGTGCAGAATATCACTGATAGGCATAATTAACCCGTCTTCTGAAATGCATCCCGGCAAAGAAATTCTCAATTAAACTGTCAGAGTTTTCAGTATTCAGTGGCTTCTGGCCTCCAGATATAGTGACACGTATCAACTGCAGTTCCCAGAACCAGTCAGAGCCCAAATGGGAAAGTTGCAATTTTCTCTCTAGATAAAATGTCACGCCATCAGACTTCAGGCAACAAGAAGCAAAAATTAAACTAAGCTGGTGCTCCTGACATGGCTTTCAATTCTTTTGTCATTTAACTGTCTGCCTAGAAATATATTTGGCAGCTCATGTGCTCTCTATGATTTACCCAGGATGCATTTCAGAGCAAAACTCCTAACTGATGTACACTTCCTGACAAATCATGTCGCCTATCCAAGTTTTAGGAACAGCAAATAATAACCTGACTTATAGTTGATCATTTTGTATCAGAAGTGGTTAATATTAAAGGCAAAGTCCTCTAAGTTTTTGACTTTGCTTAGACTAAAGTCTTGTTACATAACAGAAATAATGTACAGTATAGAATATAAAAAGAATGAATATTGTGTATGACTCTCATGAGCTTGGACGACTGCATCCATACATCTCTGCAATGACTCAAATAACTTATTAAAAAAGTCATCTGGGATGGCAAAGAAAGCGTTTTTGCAGGACTCCCAGAGTTCATTAGGATTCGCTTGATTCATCTTCAATGCCTTCTCCATCTTAACCCAGACATGCTCAACAATGTCTATATCTGGTGGCTGGGCTGGCCAATCCTGGAGCACCTTCACCTTCTCTGCTTTCAGGAACTTTGATGTGGAGGCTAAAGTATGAGAAGGAGCGCTATCCTGCTGAAGAATTTGCCCTCTTCTGTGGTTTGTGATGTAATGGGCAGCACAAATGTCTTGATACCTCAGGCTGTTGATGTTGCCAACCACTCAGCAGATCTCTCGCACACCCACATACTGAATGTAACCCCAAAGCATGATTTTTCCTTCACCAAATTTAACTCACTTCTGTGAGAATCTTGGGTCCACGTGGGTTCCAATAGGTCTGCAGTATTTGTGATGATTGGGTTGCAGTCGAACAGATGATTCATTAGAAAAATCGGCCTTCTGACACTTTTCCAAATGATCAACTAGAAGTCAAGTTATTACTTGATGCTCTTACAAATGGAATCGTTTACAAGACCTTTGTCAGGTAGTGTATGTATATACCAGGATCGCTGCTAAAATTTGTTTAATATACAGAAAAGCCTAACAGTTCTTTATTAATCTATATTAATTTATAGAGTAAAATGTAATATTTACGTTTCATAATAACATAATAAAAAGTCACGTTTTTAGATATTTATAAATTTTCAGACAACACAATAGCAACATTTTAATTTCAGAAGGGGTGAAGAAAGTGCTATTAGATGGAATACATTTTTTAATCCATCATTATAATATATATTTTTGTTTTCACAAGAAAAGCTCTAAATTATCATGTTTTTGCTTGAAATTTGGAGCAAATGTTATCAATACCTCATAGAATTAGGAAATACGTACACCGTAGTGACTGTGCTGAAACTCATACCTACTAAATCCAAACAAACAGAGAATTTTCAAGAGTTTTTTTTTTCCAAAAGCACCTTTCCTTTAGCCCAAAATATAAAATGTCATTAGGGCTGTTTGAATGCAAACTGTTTGCAATTGGTGCCAATTTTTGGAATTCCTCACTGTTGTTGTGATCCTTGTCAATTCTTTATACTGTTGTGGACTATAAATATCTCAATGTCTATGTGTGAATTAGAAAGAGGGAAAAAAAAGTGAAAAAATAAAAGCTAATAATCAGCAACATACATTTATATAGTGTATTATTTGGATACTGCAGCTTTTTATAGCTTAACCAGCTGTTTGAAATGGTATAAGCGAACCACAGATATGATTAATTGAACCAACTCATTGAACCTACCCATCTGAATCTGTTCACAGAAATGTATCTGATCGTTGTTATTGCCATTATTCTGTGAAGAGTAAGTGCACTCGTTTTTGAACTTCTGCAACCTATATATGGGAGAAATGACTAGAAATAATAAACGACTGAAAACGGTCCAACTACTTGCTTTACAAGCAAGTGTGTCTGTTCATGCATACATAACACGTACATAACATACGTGAAGAATAAGGTCAATAAAGTGACTTCTGATCATCTGATTATTGGCAAGAAATGTCATCATTCAATCACCATCCACTAGTCCCAAACCTGTCCGACTTCCTTTTTTTCTGTTTAACATATAATAAGATATTTTGAAGAATGCTTGTAACTAGTGGCCAGTGCATTCCATTATTGTTTTTGGATGTCAATAACTAGTCATCAACATTCTTCCAATTATCTTTAACAGGAAAAAAAAGCACATCTAAGTTTGAAACCACTTTTTATTTTTGGTTTTGGCATACTACTACAGGATTTATTTGTGTATGAACTATCTTTAATTGTTCTATTTTCAGTTTGAATAGAATGTTTTGCTTTTGAGTTCAGAAATAATAGACGTCATATCCTTTGTGAGCAAAACTTCATGTCAATAAAATTTAGAGGATGACAAATGGCCATTTATTAACACACACACGCACGCACGCACACACACACACATATATATATAGCAACATATGATCTTGAAAACTTCTGCAAAACTTGAACCAGACCTTTTCATTATCTTTAGTGACCTTCAAAAGCAAAAGTTCGTTTCAAAGCAAAAGGAGGATAAAACAAAGGTAGAACTGCACACGCACAGAAGCAGCAGAGAGGAGAAACGCAGTGTTTACCAGAGAGATTTAGGGACAGACCAAAGAAAAGCAGAGAAGCCTTTAGTGATGCTCTGGTTTCATGTGGAAGCACAGTGTGGAGGAGGAGGAAGAGTTCAGACCTAAACCAAGAAGAGAAGGCCAGACAGAGAGACAGAGAACACAGACAGAAGCAAGAGTGACAAGCATTTGAGAGATGCAATGCATGAGGATTGGAAAATCTGACATAACATGCATATGACCCCACATACCACATTTACACAGTTCAAAATTTAAAGTTCAATCAGTTTTTTTAAAACGCTTTTTTTTCCCCCAAAGTAGTGTTGATCAATATGCAGGCAATGTTTAGACTATATAAGCATGAAGATGAAATTATTTTATCAACAAACTATGTTTTTAAAGCCTGGAAGAACTGAAAGTTGCAGACTTTTATTATAATATGATGGAATATTGAGTAGGGGGCGGCTTTATTTTCCTGCTTCTCCTTTCACATCTTTTGCTGTGTTCACACCAGATGTGGCATGCATGAATAAATTACGCTATTTGTGCATAAATAGACGCGTGAACATTTTGAGTTTATTTGCTTCATTCGCTTGTCAAATTTGCTTTATTAATGAGCCAAAGTCACAATAAACGCAGATTTGCGTCATGAACAGGGCTTCTGTCTCTAGCTTTATTGCTAAATGGCTAACATGGGTTTTACTGAGAGAGTAGCTGTACTTCATGTGCTTTAGGAAGGCACATGAAAACAGCATAGATTCGTTCGCTGCTGGTGTCTGAGTCCACTAGATTCTTTGAGAAGTGCACTCACTTCATCAACTTCTCCAGAAAATGTACCTGGATGATGGAAGCTTTCAACAGTGCAGTTCAGAAACAGTTCAACAAGCCCTGTTAGATGAGTTGCTGTCTGATGTCAACAGGAGACAAGCCCCTCTGGTCCCTCAGGACACCAACAACAGGCATTACGTCATAATCACACACATACTAGAGCAAGCTCCTAACTGGTTAACGAAGCGCTAATCATCAATAAAGTTTAGATCCAACTTGAGCGAATCATGCAATTCACGCGTTAAGTGCGTCAAACGTGCAAAACGTTCAATTGCCTACTTCGAATCGCGTCCTTCGTACGAGTTGTGCCGCAGGATGTCTATTCGAGTCTTTGCATTGACGTAACTTGTGAATCACCCACGCTTGATGCTTCATCCATGTCTAGTGTGAACACAGCATTTCACTTTCAGCAAACTAATGACTGGAGGGGCGTGGCTTATTATATTTCACCCAAGCTGTCGAACTGACATTATCAGAGAATGACTTTAATTCTAAGGTGGAAGCAAATGTGGAAGCAGGCTTTAATTAAAAATTATTCAGCCTATTATAAGCGTTTTTAATATTTCAGAGTCTGTTGGCATTAAATGACTCACATGACCTCCATATTTACAAGTGCTGTGAGTTTGTGTTTATAATGTGCATTACAAAATTTAACATCCTTCAAATGAGACTTAAATAAATTTAAATTGATAAATGATACAACTTAAATCTTATAATTTATAATTCATAAACATTTATGAATCTGTTTTTAAAGGGTAGCAAATAAAAGGGTAGCATTTCAAAAGTGGCAAATAAAAGCTTTATGGTTTAACATTTAAAAGCAAAGAAAAACTAAAAACAACTTTTTAGTCCTGCCTTATTATAGAATAATAATAGTATTTACATATCTGTTTTGTTTATATAATTTTTGTTTTTTTTGTCTAATTTTGTCTTGAGTTATTCATATTAGCTTTTAAAATATTATTATTAAAAATTAGAATAATTTTGACAATTAGTTGTGTTTCTCCAATTAGTTTTACCTGTTTATTGCTGCCATGCTTTATGGATGGTAAATAAATGTTCATAGCAGGTGAATTTTCTCAAGGCATCATCGACTGGCGGAATGTTTAGGCGCTGGTTATACTCTATTTGAGTCTATTTTGGAAGAACATTTTGAAGCATAAAGCCTGTGAAAAAGGTATCCATCACAATGCATTTTCAAAGGCTGTTGAAACGGCAGCTGAAAACACACAGGCATCTTCAGAAAAGCATTTGTGTCTCTGAAGAAAACCTTCAAGCTTCAGGAAACTGATTTTTCTTGGTTTGTGAAGCAGACAGAATTTAAATGAGCTCTTCCGAACAAACGTACAGATGTGCTTTGGAACGGCATTTCAGTCTCAGTATCTTAAGAGGTGTGTTGGATTTTTTTTTCAGCTCGTACGCATGTACTCTGTGGTGTGTGTGTGTGTGTGTGTAGGTGTGTGTGTGCGCGTTTGTTAAACAAACTTACTGTGGTCAGGCACCAGGCCCAATCCAGGCCTTAGAAGCAGCAGGACTTTATTTCCTCCGGCCTGGATGAGCTCGATGGCCCGTGTGTGTGTGATGCCCTGTGTGGGTTCACCGTTGATCTCCACGATCTGATCTCCCACCTGAGACATTACACAAACACACATTTCTAGTCATCATCAAAAACTTCATTTCTTTTGTCTAACAAAATAATATCATAATTTGTGTTAGTAAACAATACAAAAACTGACATTATGATGATAACTGACAATTGAATGATATTGAATATGTAAATCATGATGCAGTTTTTTATTGCAGGACTTTTGTCATGAATAAATGTGAGAGAATCTGTCCTGCTAATGTGTGTGATTGTGGTGTAAACTCACATGTATTCTTCCGTCTTTCAGTGCTGGACCGTCTTCAGCGAGTCTGAGGATGAAGAGCCCCATGTTATACTCCTTTCCTCCTCGCAGACTGAAGCCAAAGCCTCTCTGTCCTCTTTCCAACTCCACTGGATAACAGCCCTAAAAACCACAGACACACATGCACACAGACAGACAGAGAAGTTTGTTTACAACAGTTTTAAAGTTTAAAAACTTAAAATGTTTAGTTAAGGCAAGATGCATTTTCATACACTTGTCAATTTTGATATTTGTTTTGGGAAAGTTTTGTCTAATGCAAAGAAATCCTCCAAAATACACGCGTAAGTGCTTCCTATTATTAGTTTGTGTCTGTAAATTTCATTAACAATACATACTATGTGACTCAGGATTACAAAACTTATACTCTTATAACAATCAGTTTTCTGAGCTTTATACACCAACAAAAAGATGAATAAATAAGCTTTCTATTTATGTAAGATTTGTTTGATATTAATATTACATTATTTGGAAGAGATACAACTATTTCAATATCTGAAATCCGAGGGGGCAAAAAAAAAATCTAAACATTGAGAAAAGCACCTTTAAAGTTGTTCAGATAAAGTTTTTAGCAATGTACATTAATAATAAAACATGATGTTTAGGTATATATAGTTTACAAAATATTATCATAGAACATCTTAACTGAATTTTCTTATGATCATAGGCATAAAAGAAAAATAAATCATTTTGACTTGCAATGCATTATTGGATATTCCTAAAAATGTACCAGTGCAACATAAATTTTGTATCCAAGTTTCTTTTGGAAATTTTGTATCCTTTTTTCTCAGCAGACTTCACACTTTTAATCATATCTATTTTGACAAGGTTTGCTCAGAGGGATTTGTTCATGCATGGTTTGCCATATAAAATGTGTTTCTTTCCAGGCTGTTTGCTGTATTTGATGATTTATGGAATGTTAAAAGAAATTCTCAAAAAACTCTTTTGGCTTTGAGTATGTCTGTAGGTGGCTTCATTGCATTAAGGAAGAGAGGTTGGTAGGAAGCACACAGTTTTTGACCGTAACATAAGGTAATGAGAGTAGTGTGTAATATAGATGAAGGTATACCGATGAAGGAATTCTGTTGATTGGAAAATAAAGATGTTTTTATTTGCATCTATTTTGCCTACGGACTCTGACTTTTACGCGTAAAAACTTGCTTACTCTACCAACAATAGCGGCAATGAAAATTATTCATATTCATTCATTCATTCTCCTTCATCTCTATTTCAGCGGTTGCTACACCGGAAAATACCGCCAACTATTCCTGCATATGTTTTATGCAGTAGATGCCCTTCCAGCTGCAACCCAGTATTGGGAAACACCCATACACTACAGACAATTTAGCTTACCCATTTCACTATTGAGTCTTAAACTCAATTCCAGAAGGACCGCAGCTCTGCACAGTTTTGCTCCAACCCTAATCAAACACAGCTGATCCAACCGATCAAGCAGTTCAACTAGAGGCTATTAAGCAGGTGTGATTTGGAGGTAGTTGGAGCTAAAATCTGCAGAGCTGTGGCCACTTGACTGTGGGACCCGGAGGAAACCCACACAAACACAAGGAGAACATGCAAACATACTCAAACCAGTGACCTTTTTGCTGTGAGGCAACAGTTTCTAACCACTGAGCCGCCATGATGCTCTCAAAAAATGATAAAACAAATAAATTAAATATATATAAAAATGTCTCCACTGTAAAAAGCGATGCATTACTTTATTTAAAAAGTGAGTAAACCCGTTGTCTAAAAACCTATAAGTTAATTTTACATTAAAAAGTCAGTAAACCTATAGACTTTTATAATTATGCACACAGTTTATTTACTACATAATTAAAGTTTACACTCTTTTTTTTTTTTAAAGTCAACTAATTGCTTTTTACAGTGCATTGCTTATTCAAGCATTACAATAAATTTATTCAGCTGACTGCAAAAATATTGTGAAAACATTTCACCCCATAACCTTGCCATAAGCTCAGCAAATGAGTGCTTTCTTGATTTCCTGTTTTCAGCAAATATATCCCAGCATTCTGTTCTACACAGCTGTCAGCGCTAATGAAAAAGCACACTTAATTTGCACAGCTCGGCTCCTGCCATTATTATCTGTGATTTATTTCTCAAACATTTGCTCCGTTTCATTGCTTGTGAAGTTACCATAGTATGAAACCTTCAGGTAACAAATGCTTCCGTCTCAGTTTTAAATGTAATTTAATCTTCCCAAAAACATGTGGCCTGCATAAAAATGAAGCCAGTTGCATAACAGTAATCTGTGAACTCCATTACTGCATGCATAACACAAATTATCACTCCAAGTACTGCTGATGAACAATTCTCAGAAAAAAATTATGCATAATTTAGGAATAAAAAGTATTGGATATAGCTCACTTATCCCAAACTTTAAACTGTAATGTACATGCATAATTGTTTTGAAATATCATCGGTGTCAAGTTTGGAAATAAAATATTTGGGAATAAACGAGTCACATAAACATGGACTTTGTGAATATAAGTCTCAAGCCCTCACTATTCAATTACATATAGCTGAAGACTGAATTATTGTTTTAGTTCTTTCAAATATTTCTCAAGTTCTGCTGAACGCATTTTTAAACATAACAGTTTTAATAACTCCTTTCTAATAACTAATTGTTCTATATTTTACTAGTTATATGCCAAAATACTAGCATTCAGCTTAGTGCAACTTAAAGGCTTAAATAATTAATTAATTAGGTTAACTAGACAGGTTAAGTTTATAAGGCAAGTCAATGTACAAAAGAGGTTTGATTTTTAGTGAAAAAAAATTAATTAATAAAAATAATATATATTATTGATTTATTTGTATTTATTTTTCTACAAACCACTTTTGTGTTTGAATAATATTATGTATAATACTATTCTACAAACACAAAAGTGGTTTGTAAAAAAAATCAATAATATATATTATTTCTATTTATTATATTTTTATTCTTATATTAATTTTTATTAAAATATATAAATATTAATTATATTAAATATTATTAATTTTATATAAATATTATTTATTTTATATAATTTTTATTTTTATATAATGTTTTATTTCTATATTATTATACCTAACGAAAAGTACTTTCATTATTAAAAATAATATAATATTATTAAGAATAATATAGAGATTACTATGAAAAATGTCCTAGCTCTGTTACATAATTAAAAATAATTACAATTTTACAGGAGGGCTAATAATTTTGCCAATTTGTCTTGCAAAGTATAAATCAAACATAAACACAAAATAACAGTTAGATTAGAAAAGTAAAATAAATATTAACTAATTTAATAATTACCAAACACCAAAAAATAGTCAAAGTCAGAAGAATATAGATGGATGGATGGATGGATGGATGGATGGATGGATGGATGGATGGATGGATGGATGGATGGATGGATGGATGGATGGATGGATGGATGGATGGATGGATGGATGGATTGATTGATTGATTGATTGATTGATTGATTGATTGATTGAAACACTGAAGGACTGACGGACGGACGAAAAGACAGACAGACAGACAGACAGACAGACATAGATAGATAGATAGATAGATAGATAGATAGATAGATAGATAGATAGATAGATAGATAGATAGATAGATAGATATCTTGCTAATTACAATTTTATAGGCACATTTACTTTCCTGTGCAATTATAGTAAGAGTAGATGGAGCAGAATATAAATATTAATGTCATTTTCCACATTACATATTTCATCTCAAGCATGCTCTTCACTGACATTCTCATCACCTTGGTAACCAAATACACCAACTTAAAAAAGCAATCTCAAAGTTTTAAAAGAAATGTAATCTTCCTAAAACGTGGGCTGCATAAAATCGAAGTGCACAAGTCCGCTGCATAATAATAATAATCTGTGTGCTCTATTACCGCAAGCGTATCACGTCTCACCTGCTTTATTCCTGAGGTGATGACAGTCCCCATTTCCCCCTGAGGAAGAGCTTTATACTCCACTCGGCCCAGACTGTCTTTCCTCTCCTCCGTCTCCACACCATTCCTGAATGACACACAATTAAAGCTTTAGGCCAATAAATGACCTGCTGCACACAAAAACCAGAGCGTCTCCCTTCATCTGCTGTCCTGTTAGAAGACACGGTTTAGACTGCTTTTGTTCATGACAATGTGGAGTTAAATACTGGAGAGGATGAGTCTCTTCCAGACCTCATTACACCTTTTTGTTAATGTTAAGTGTGGGCAAAGGCTCTGAGCAGAGCGAGTTAACTACAAATCCACTTAGTTTTATGGCTAAAAAAGGATGACCTGGGCCTTAACTCAGGCTGGAACTGAATAAAGAGATTGTTAGAGTGCTTGTCATATAAGACGACTGGAAGGATGCGATTGAAAATGAAAGGATATTGAAGTGGTCATAGATATCATGCTTGCAGGATTACTTACAGGTGTAAAAGTTTGTTTTGCTAATATTTCACTTTTGTTTCTACCTGCATACTTAAAAAATTTTAATATAATATTACATTTAATATTTAATATCATATTTAATATAAATATAATGTTATTATATTAAATCATGTCTCTTAGTTTTCATCTTCACTAAACTGTAAAAATGGGTTCCACACAATCTATTTGTGTTGGGACAACATGAAGCAATTAATTTAGCTTATTCAATTCGCCTATAGCACGTGTCTTTGGACTGTGGGGGAAACCGAAGCACCTGGAGGAAACCTGTGATGTTTCAGCTCATTTAAAATAAGTGGTTTCATCAAACAGCATACATCATTTTTAAGTGTAGTTTGCTAAGTCTGTTAACAAATGTCCAAAAGTGGATATAATTAATCTTTTAAAAGTTTGGGATCAGCTGGTTTGTTGAATGAACCTTATGCTCACCAAAAATTGTGTTATTTAATTAAAATGGCAGTAAACACCATAACAGTGTAAAATATTACTTACATTTTAAAATCTGGTTTTGGTTTTTAGTATATTTGTGACCATGAACCACAATATGGTTCGTAAGCGAATTTTTTTTTGTAAATTAAATTTATTCGTCACATGAAAGATGAACAAATATGCTTTCCACTGATGATTTGTTAGGACAGGACAATATTTGGCTGAGATAAAACTGTTTGAAAATCTGAAAACTGATGCATAAATGTAAATATTTAGAAAACAACCTTAAAACTAAAATCGCCTAAACATCGCCTAAACTTTTTGGCTATGAAAATGATTTTGGCTTATTTAGACACAAAAATTGTTTTGAGTTGTATTAGATTATTAACTTGTTAAGTGAAAGAAAGAAACTCAACTGACAGAGTGAAGATGGTGGAGCATAGAAAAACCTGTGCATTATTCAGTCACTAGATTGGTGCCAAACAAACAAAAACGCCAGTGTTATTTAGCAGTTGTTAGCTTGGAATAACATACCTTGGAAGTCTCGACTGACCAATCAGAAGCAAATACAGCCATGTAATAAGATTAGTTAACAGCCGTGTAATAACATTAGTTAATACATTGTGAGTTCACACGAACTAAAAATTAAAGACTTTGTTTTCATAAAAGGTGAAGTTCACTCAAAAACTTCATCATTTTCATTTTTGGGTAAACTATCCCTTTAACTGATGTTAAAAAAGATCCACTGTTTTTCTATGTTCATAAATACATTAGCTAAATGTAAAGTTTTACCAAATAAATATAAATTTTCCTTCTTCGAATGTTTTGGAAAACATACCAAACTACATTGTTAAAGCTGTGACATGTACTAAACTTCTAATAAATGATGATGTTTGGATAATTATAGTACTTGAAATATAATGATTAACAACCACAAACAGAGATACAAATGAAGGCACAAACGAAAACTAAGAGCATGTATGTTAATAGTCTATGTGGTTGTGTGTATGTGATGACTGAACTGGCAAGTGCAGTACCTGTCTTCTCGGCTGGCAGGCTGCTGTCCCATGGCTCTGTGTTGGATGGCTGGGCTCTGCTTGGCTGAACTAGTGCCTGACGGAGGCCCGCTGTGCTCTGAAAAATAAACAGGTTTATCAGCATAACGCAAACACACATACACAACCCATTTCCAAATTGCAATCACAAACTTCAAAATCAAATGCACAATCTTTTCTGTTAATGAAAAAATAAATATGAAATCCACTCCAGAAATAAAAGAGCTAATATACTAGTAATCCTTTCTATGTAACATGTAATCAAAATGCATATTAAAAGTTGTTTTTTAAGTGTATTATATATCATAATAATGTACTAATATGTTGCATCTTCTCATAAATATTCATAAGAACAGTATACATATAAAACTGTGATGGATTTTAACCACTTTTAACTAAACCTCTACAACAATTCCATTACTATCGGTTTATGTGCATTATAAAACTACTTGTTTAGTCTTGTGCCGATTATTATTATTTAGAAGATGAGGAAACATTGTAATGCACAAAAATACAGCATCTTGCATAGAAGCTTCAAAGAAGGTATTAACACCAGACACGAGCACTGTCTGTCATGATAATTATTAGATTATTAGTATATGGAGGATGGTTTTTATTTTATCAAACATTACATCTGGAGTGAAAACGAGTTGACTTTTTAAATGTATGTCAACAGGGGTTTGGTTTCAATCAGTGTATTGATTTAGTGAGGAAACAGCTGATCACTGACAGCCTGTCTGCTAATCTTCAGTGTATTTAGCATTAAACATTCATTCTTAGAGTGAGCTACATTTAGAAGCTACAGCACAATTAATGCTGTTAGTATAATAAGAGAAAACACAGAGAATGTTGTATCTCCAAACATTGATGGACTGCTGTAAATATGCAATTAATTTAGTGATTTTTAATCAGATTAAATATTATCACTTAAATATTAAGTCACTGAGGGCTCTATTTTAACAATCTAGGCGTAAAGTCTAAAGCATTAAAGGCATGTCTGAATCCACTTTTGCTATTTTAAGAATGTTGTGCTTAGTCTCTTAATGAGTAATGGGTGTGTTTTGAGCATAACGTGAACTAAACCAATCAGAGTCTCATCTCACATTACCTTTAAGAGTCAGTTGTATCACGCCATAGCAGATTTGCTAATTACATGGCAGACTTTGTAAGTGGAAAAACTGAATGCTTTACTAGCAAGAAAACAGTTAAACAGACCATCTGCGCTAGGATAAAAAATGAGCCTCCTCCATTAGGTCTTTTTACTTTCTCTTTACTTTACTTTTACTCTTTACTTTCATGGATAAGAAAATGGTGTTGTACGCACTCCACTGAAGACAGCCGTTATCATACATCTTTAATTTCGTTTGACAAGTGCAAAGATTTGTTTCAAAACTATTTCTAAATTCAGTTCTAATTTCCAGCAAACGAAAAAATGAACAATAATAACGAAGTGTGGTCAAAAAACTGATTTATATCCAAACACACGTCCTATTCTTATGCCCCATAAGGTGATGCATACATCTCCAAAACCCAACAGGTGGACAAAACTAAATTTGTTTTTATTAAAACAAATATAAATATGCATATAATAAAAAATACTGCTAATAATTATAACATTATACAAATGCAGTTTTTCATGAATGAACTGAAAAAAGCATGAAGGCATGAAGTAGTGGTTTTAATATTTATGTGGAAAACATTTTAATCCTTTAATCTTTTCATATATGGATATTTGTGTATTGCTGTACATCCTATGTGTATTAAGCAATGTGTAAGCTTTTAAACCCACATATGTGCATAACTAACCCCAGCTCTGTGCTGGACTTTAGACCTGCTTTTAGATGGTCAATGGCGCTGTCTATTTCAGTTTTTCAAAATAGCAACGTATCAACAATGCGCCTTAACACACCTCTTTTATAGGCCGGCACACCCATCAGTCCACAAAGTGGTGTAAATGGATTTGATATTTAAACAACTTAGTGTAAAATGTGAAAATTAGGGTTGTGCTGGTCTGAAAATAGCAAACAATTGCATCAAACACATCTTGCGCCTTATTGGGCCGGGTGTATGATAAGGCCCTGAGAATTTTATTTCAGTATGTTGATGTACTTTCAGATGAAATGGAGCAATGATTAGAGGTCATATTTTTTTGTTTGTTTTCTGAATCATTCTCTAATAGCAAACTAACTGTAAGAGGGGAATGATTAAGGTTATATTGATATACATGCTATAGAAGCCCTCAGGTTGACATCAGCAAAAAGAGAGCCACTCCAAATGCAGTTACACATGGTTAAAATTTGATTGAAGATTACCAAAACAAAATTTTTTTTATTCAGTGGAATAACCTGAACAGATTAATTATTAAATTTAAAAATAACAATGTGAGCTAGCAAAATAAACACTGTAAATTTTGATTTCATGCAGACTTCAAAGCTAAGCTGTGATGATATTTTTGTTTGGGCTTATAGATTTTCTGAAATTAACTAAACTGAAAAAAAGTTGATTTCAAACCCTGGTTACCAAGATATTTTCCCCAGAGCTCACCCTCCTCGGGCACCACGGTGAGGGTGACGGCGTTTCCAGCTTCTTTGATGAGCTGCACGATGTCGTTGTGTGACAGGTCAATGATGGACTGTCCGTTGACGGCAGAGATGCGGTCTCCTACTTTCAGATGACCGCTGCGGTCTGTGGGACTGCCCTCAATGATCCGGCCGATCTTATGCGGGATGACTGAGAACACACAGATCGATGCTTATTTCATTTATACTGCACTGACAGACCAAAAGAGCCACAAGATCTGAGGAGGTTCTAAACTGCTGTGACGTGCTGTCAGGAACTCCAGAAAGTGATACTTGTGTATGGGTAAAAGATGAAAAAGGCTTTTCAGGGATCAAAACAGCTTTCATATTCTTTGCTCTGTGCATAACTATATGCCCTGGTAAATTTAAGATATTTTTGTGAGCATCACACGCAGACTACAATGTCATTCAGTGTAACATTAGGTTATACAGGGAAATGATATATTGTCAGGCATATTTAGCATATTAATCATTTGATGGCATTTTATTAGACTCTTTTTATGGATCACAGTGCAACCTCAAAATACTAGTTACTTATCAATTTAAATCTTTATACTTTGTGACTTTTAAGCCATTAAATAAGAGCATTTTTTATTACAAAATGTTTTATATTTAAAATATAACATAGTGTAAATAAAAGGTTTTATGTTCCCATGTTAAAATACAGTACGGTAAATAAGACTTCACTAAATACCTGCTATATTTATAAATGATGGTTATTAAAGGTTTGTTGTCAGTATGATTTTTGTCAGTATGATAAGAAATTAATAATATTCAGCAATACATGTACTATTGACAATAAAGACATTTACAATGGGACAAAAGATTTCAATTTCAAATATATTGTGTACTTTTAAAACGTTCTATTAAAAAACCTATAAAAAATGCATCCCCTTTACTACAAAAAAGTTATCAGCAAAAGTGCCAAAACTAGGATATTTGTATGAAAATCTGCATATTAGAATGATTTCTAAAATATCACGTGATACTGAAGACTAAAGTAATGATGCTGAAAATTCAGAATAACATTCAAATACTTTATAAAACTAAATATATTAAAATTTAAATAGCACTAACTAGTACTGCATATCTGAACAAATACAGCTTTGATTGTATAAACTGCTTTGATTAAATTGCTTTATAAAAAATGTAAAGACATACTTAATCTGACCTGTACTTATAAAAAACTTAATTTTTTAATAAAGATTTAATCAATTTTAAATGATTAAAAAAAGGGTAAAACCTAGCAGTTTGACGGAGAGTTTTAGTAGTTTTAAAGTATCTTATCATTGCTATGCAGATGATGTACAATTATAATTTTTTTTAAACCTGACAGACTAGAAAAACTCTTGCAGGATTGTTTAGTCTCCAACAAATAGACAGACAATTTTCTGTAACTGAACCCTGAGAAAACTAAAAAGCATTTAAAGACACATCTTTTTTGTCAAGCTTTTAATTAACAGTATGGTGAGCTGGTTTTACATTAGTATTTCTGTTTTGGGATTTTTAACTTGTTTTAATTTGTTTTCTTTTATTGATATGTTTTTTTTTTTCTTTTAACCTGTTTTCCAGTTTTCTTTTATTGTAAACTTAATGTCTGCAAAAGGTGCTATATCAATCACCCTTTACTTACTTACTTAAATGTGCACTGTGATCCTTAAATAGTCTTTTTGGAGTCAAAAGAAAAATAAAATATATTATAATATAATTAAATATATATAACTTGCAATATTTGTTGCTATTATTAACTATTCATTATTAAAACATTTCTATTATTACACTGAACACAGTGGGGCTGGCAGTAAATCACAGTAAGCAAAAAGCCATTTCATCTTTGATCAGAATACAGATGAATATCCCAAAAATATCTTGTGTCACAGAAGTTACATCATTTCACTAGTAAATTCAACAAACGCTCACAGCATTATTCAGAGCAAACAGAAACAGCCATTAGCACTGAATGAGTCCTTTTCTCACAGCTCTGTGTTTATTGCTATAATACTTCACAGCTAAGCTGAAATGGCTTCCATTTTATTAGTATAACTGCCACTATAGAGTGACTGGATGAAAGTCGTAATGCAGATCAGATTTCATGTTATCAGTTTGTAGAGGCAGAAGAACAGGAGAAGAGATAGACTGAGAGAACAGTCACGTCTAACCTCCAGGCGGCGGCTTGTTTTTGGAGGTGAGGATGACAAAGCCGAAGCCCTCATTGTCCTTGCGCTGAAGAGTGACGTCGTAGGGCTGAGGATGGCTGTGTCCAGACACCTCCACATGGGACGGTTTGGGGGATCCGTTGACCAGCGATAGAGCCTGGGGAGCCGGAGGATAAACTCCATCATCTTCCTCTCGATCTGCACAAAGATATTCAATTATCACAGATTAAACCTACAGAGATTTATTATTAGTTACAGATTGAACATCACAGATTTAAGAAGGATCACTAGACTATTGGCTGCTGAAATGTCAGAAGAATGGACCACTGCTATTTCTTATTTATAGAAATGACTTCTCAAATGTTTCGAATACTCTTACTCCAGTAACGTTTGCCGACGATACAACCTTAGTTCAGTCTTAACAAACTTTTATTTAGTCATTATTAAAACAAACGATAGTATAATTGCTTATGCAAACTGGTTTAACTTAAATAAATGATCAAAAGTCATATCCTAAAGATTTAGCCAAAATTACCACTGAATCTATTGCAGTGCCTCAAGTGGCAACTACAAGCAGATCATGTCGGCAGGAAAATATATAAATCAACTGGTATATTAGGAGGGTTAGGCATCTTGTTACTAAAGAATGTTTTCTTACATTGTATTACAGTTTTATTTATCCATATCTTTCATATTGTAATAGAGTTTGGTCAAGCACTTCCCCTACTACTCTTCAAAATGTTTCTTTTCTAATGGCTGCTAATGGCTGTCTTCAGTAGAGTGCTTACAACACCATTTTATTATCCACGAAAGTAAAGAGTAAAAGTAAAGTAAAGAGAAAGTAAAGAGGCCGAATGGAGGAGGCTCATTTTTTTATCCTAGCGCAGATAGTGTTTTGTAAGGAAATCAACTCGGTCAAATTCATTTACCTCATCCACTATTTTATTTCAGAAACTCCATCTTCTTTCCATCTAAGATCATAACATTTTTCAAACATAGATTTTTATGTTAACATAGTTAACATGCCAGATCATTTCAGAGCGCAATACTCAATTAGATTTAGGGGTATTCAATAATGGAATGATTTATCTCATATAATAAAAAATATTGTTCCTCTTTAAGAGGTTGTAAGAGATGCGTAAGGAATCACTTTAATGTTGCTTTGTAATTTTGTAAAAATTCTATTGTATTGTACGATTTAATTTAATTTTTTGGTTGTGTGTGCATGTGATTTTGTAATTTTATTTGTGTGTGTAATTACTCACTTGAATTTGTAATTTAGCATTAGTTGAATGTAATTGTTTTGTTTTCGTTTTCTATTATTATTTAGGTAGAGGCTCTAAATAAGCCTTTAGGGCTTTTTTAGGCCTCTTTCTGCACATTATGACTTTTTATTTCTTTTTTATTTAAATTTTTTGCAGTCTTGTGCAAATAAAGAAAACAAAAAAAGGAAAAGAAAAGTAAAGAACAATATATTCTTTAATATATTAAAAAGGAAACTTTTATATATTACAATCAAATACAGCTTTTAGATATTGTAAAGTTCTTAGTATATTTGTTACATTAATTAATATGTATTGTAGATGTGTTGGGGGGGGTGCATTAAATTACATTAAGAAAAGTGACTTTGTATACATAGACAACATGTAAATGTAAGTAAAGGATGTATTGTAATGTATAAACAATTGTGAACTTCACACTTAACAAAATACAGGTGAACTATTGCTTCATTGTCATTCACTGTAACAGATCAATTTATGTATTTAAAAAGTATAAATGTACAGATGCATCCAGCTTAGTTCCACAATAAACATCCCAGACTTGAACTATATAGTCCTAATTTAGTTTTAATTACATGTTTAATAAGATTTAGATTTTTAAAATCTATTTAGCTACATTTAATATTTATAATATTTTAAATATCATAATTAATTTATAATTTTAATAAAGTGATTTTAGTATGCCAACCAACTTACAAAAGTTTATTTTAAACATAACAAATGAATCAACTTACTAAACCTTTAACATGTATAAGATAATATATATACACATACATTTAAGGGGGAAATTATTAGCCCTCCTGTAAAATTTTGTTTCTCAAATGCTATTTTATTAAAGATTTTTAAAAACACATTTTAAACATAATACTTTTAATAACTAATATATAATAACTAATTTCTTTATTTTTTTGCTATAGTAACAGTACAAGTACATGGTAGCCAAATACTATTATTCAGCTTAAATTGTAATTTTACTGGGATAATTAGTGCAAACAGTGGTTTGTTCTGTAGACAATCCAAAAAATTTTCATTAATTTTCCTTTGGCTTATTTCCTTTATTCATCAGGGGTCGCTACAGCGGAATGAACCTCCAACTTATCCAGCATATGTTTTACACAGTGGATGCCTTTCCAGCTGCAGCCCAGTACTGGGAAACACACATAGACTTTCATATAAACACACTCATACATTATGGCCAAGTTAGTGTATTCAATTCACCTATGTCTTCGGACTGTGGGGGAAACCGAAGAACCCAGCGGAAACCCATACAAACATGGTGAGAACATGCAAACTCTACACAGAAATGCCAACTGACCCAGCCAGGACTCGAACCAGTGAACTTTTTGCTGTGAGGCAACAGTGCTAACCACTAAGCCAATGTGTCACACTTCCAAAACAGAAATATTTCTTAAAAACTGCTTTTATCCTAGCAAAATTAAAATAAATAAGACTTCCTGCAGAAGAAAAATTTATATTATTGGAAATACTGTGGAAAAAGTCCTCTGTTAAAGTTCGCTTGAGAAAAAAATATTTCACTAAAGGGCTAATAATTTTGATTTAATAAAAATGCCCATATTACAATAGGATTATTTTGAGAGAGGAGCAGATCGTGTTTATAGTTTGACATGGAAAGTCCTAGTAATACGTCAATGATGAGTAGTAGTCTAACTTACCAGTTCTAGTTTCACACTCCCACCTCTAGTGTTATGACTATACTTTAAGCATCTATTAACACTCTACAATTAATCATTTACATCCATTTTGCAAAATGATCCCATCTGGGCTTGATCATTCATAAAAAACAAACAAAAAAAACTCTTAACAATTCTCACTGTGAAATAAAACAAATGAACAGCATCCCAGAATGCTTTAACACATCTACAAGAGAATGTTTATAAAAGTGTTGGAAAAAAGCTGCTATGAGGCAAAATGCCAAACTCGTAATAGCTTCATAATTAGAAGTTTTTTCCAAATTACACAAGTGTGTGCGTGTGTGTGTCTCGAGGCGACATTTTTTTTTCCGGTTACTCAGTGCTTCTGAGTCATTGTTTTGTTAACACATAAACAGTCTTCTGCTTTGACTGAAAACAGCGGTCATTAAAATTTGATTGGGTGGTTAATATTTTATTGTTCAACTCTGCCCTTCACTCAGAACTAATAGAATGAAACATTCAGTCCTCAGAGGGAGTGAATCTGTGTCCAAACATCAGCGACTGGAAATGAATGAAGCCTTTGGAGGATATGTACATAAACACACAGTAATCAGATAAATACAAACCTTGAAAGGTGAGTTTTCTGCGCACGGTCAACATGACCTGGCCATTGCGGGCGGCGTTAGTCATGAGCTCCAGAACCTGTTTGTGAGATTTGCCTTTGACAGGAACGCCGTCAATACATATGAGCTCGTCTCCAGCCCGCAGCCGGCCATCTTTCTCTGCGGCTCCCAGAGGAACAATGGCACCAATGTACACCTGAGGAAAGACACTGTGGTTAAAGGTCATGCCATTGTGTGGTCTGACAATCCAGAGATTCCCATACACTGATTTATTTGTTCACATTGTGAGCACTGACATAACTCGAGTGATCATAAATGACACAAAAAAGGTAGACAGTTTGTGTCAGTTTAATTATATTATGCTGTAAAGAAATGCACAGCGTTGAATTTCATGAACACACGTCACTAAAACAAACATTCAGGTACATGGTAATCTTGTTGTCAATGCAACCAACATGATATTTTTCATAAATTAGCTTCAATAGCATAAAAAAAGCTAAAACAATGTTGTAATAACTTTATTAACTTTAATATTACTTAATAACTTAATATAAACATAACAAACATACATGTATTTGTAAATATTTTCTTTTAGAAATGATTAATCAGCACTAAATTAATTCAAATAAATCCTTCCAAAATGCCTTGCCGTTCCTCGCACACTTGTGGATTTTCCCGTCTATAGAGGATTGTGCACCATTTAAACAATGCAATGAATGACATTGAACATAAAAAGCAATATAAAGTAGACATTTTTAGTATAGAAACAAATCCAATACATTTCCCAGTAAATAGCCTAAAAGAGCACCTGCTCAGTGCTTCACATTTTCACCCAAAAATACCAAAGCAAATAATGACAGAAAAAGTTCAGAAGAGCATTCCTACATGCAAGACTTTGATCTCTGATGTTGAATTGCTGCAGCAATAAGTGAAACTAAAGCTAGTGTGTGTGACTTGGATTATAAAAATAAACTTTATCCTCCTTAAATTGCCTAGTGAATACAATATGTGACCTTGGACTACAGAACAACATGTCTTTTTTTCAAAATTAAGATTTATACATCACCTAAAACTTAATAAATGAACCTAACCATTTACGTATTGCTTGATAGGAAATAATAAAACTTAACTGGGTAAAAACTATTTAAAAATATGAAATCTTTTGATTCAGAAAAATCTAAATGCTAAGAAAATTGCATGTAAAATAGCTGAAACTAAATGCTTAGCACATCACTAATCGAACATTATTTTTTAAATATACAGTTGAAGTCAGAATTATTAGCCTCCCTATGAATTTTTTTAATTTTTAATTTTTAATTATTTCCCAAATGAAGATTAACAGAGCAAGGAAATTTTCACAGTATGTTTGATAATATTTTTTCTTCAGGAGAAAGTCTTATTTGTTTTATTTCAGCTAGAATAAATTCTGAAAATATTCAGCTAGAATAAAAGCAGTTTTTAATTTTTTAAACACAATTTTAAGGTCAAAATTATTAGACTCTTTAAGCAAATTTTTTCCAATAGTTTACAAAACAAACCAACGTTATGCAATAACCTGCCTAATTACTCTTACATGCCTAGTTAACCCTTATTAACTAGTTAAGCCTTTAAATGTCACTTTAAGCTGTATAGAAGTGTCTTGAAAAATATAGTCAAATATTATTTACTGTCATCATGACAAAGTTAAAATAAATCAGTTATTAGAAATGAGTTATTAAAACAGTTGTTTAGAAATGTGTTTAAAAATCTGCTCTCCTTTAAACAGAAATTGGGGAAAAAATAAACAGGGGGCTAATAATTCTGACTACAACTGTATATACAGTATGCCATTTTCAAAATGTATTCATGGAACATGACATTAACTTAATAATCTAATGATTTTGGCATAAAAACTATATTTTGACATATTTATATACATGTATTTATATGTATAGACATTTATATGTATATACAGTACATGTATCAGGATAAATCCATCATTTTGACACGTATGACACATTGTATTTTTGTCTATTCTAAAAAAATAGACCCTTGCAACATAAGACTTGTTTTCAAGTGTTGGTTTTGTAGTCCACTTGTGTTAACAAACAAATAATAAAAAGTAAACCACACATACACACAAAATACCATTATTTTCTGAAGCCTACAAACACATTTAATTAAAGCTGCTAATAATTACTTTGCTGTTTCCACAAGTTCAACATTTAATTGCTGAACTGATTATTTTTTTTTTTTTATAAATCACTGTGTGTATGTATTTGAAGTGTTGCCACAAATAAACAAGTCTGTGGGAAACAAACTACGATGACAAATCACTATAAAATCACTCACTGGCTGATCTGGTCCCTCTCCACCAAGCACTCGAAACCCAAATCCAGTCTCCTGGTTTCTCTTGATGAACACATCCAGCTCTTTAGTGTTGATGGCTGAGAGAACAGGAAAATTGGTTGTAAATATAGTGAAGTAAGCAGATCATTCGTAAGCATTGAGGCAGAACTCACGTTTGCTGTCCTGCATTGCTTTGGACTTGAGGTAGAGCTCTGTTGGGTCCAGTTTTGGGGAGCTGGAGCGAATGAGCTGTGGCGGGAAGGGCAGGGATTGGGGCGCAGGTTCAGCTGGACTGGGAGTGTCAGTACTGATGGAGCTGGTGGTAATGATGTCCTGCTTCTGGGTAATGGGCATCGCTGGCGTGATCTGAATGAACAGATGGAGACACACTGATTATAGAACTGCCCTCAGTGATATTCCAGATATGAGCAGAGCTCTTTAATATTCATTATGTCAAATGATTTTCAACAATAAAAAACAGACTGTTTTGGCTAATATTGAACTATTTTTCATCCAGTCATTCAAAGTTAGTCTAAATGACAAACACATTTGCTTTATTTAGAGTCATATTACAGATAACCAGCCTGTATGGAAACATGATATGTTTAAGTGTGTCATCACAATTTTGTTTTACAGCACGCTACAAAAAATGATAAGATCAAAAACTCATGACAACATTTCATGTTACTTTACCTTCTTTTAATAAATTGATCAGGTAACTTTACTTTTAAAGTTATACACATTTTATCTTGATGTTTTAAGGTATTTTAATTTATGCAATCAAATTAGATGAATAATAATTCCTTACATGTATATAGTGCTTTTCTGAAAACTCAGAACACATTGGGAGGTTCTCCTCATCCACCACCAGTGTGCAGCATCCACCTGGATGAAGCGACAGCAGCCATATTGCACAAGGCCGCACACCACACACCAGTTGATTGGTGGAGATGAGACAGACAGAGTGATGAAGCCAATTATAGTATTGGGATGGTTAGGGGGCCATGATGGACAGAGGCCAGTGGGCAAATTTGGCCAGGATGCCAGAGTTAAACCCCTCTTTTTCAAAGGACATCCTGGGATTTTTAACGACCACAGAGAGTCAGGACCTTACCTTACCATCTTATCCAAAAGACACTCACTGAGTGTCTAATATATAATAATAATATAATTATTTAAAGTTACTGTAAAAGATCATCATTTAACCTATTTTTTGACATTTGCTTTTCACAAAAGTACTGGTAATGCTTGGTTCATGTAATAAGTTCATTAATAAGACACTGCACTTGTATTTATCCAGCTTTTTTATAAGGAAAGCATGAAATAGATACAAGTACAGTGTCTTAGACACAGATGTCTCTTTGACTCTTAATACTCTAGATCAGAGGTGCCCAAATTCAGTCCTGGTGTCCGAAATCGCCCACTATTTACTACTCGACTGTTAAAAAAGTGTGTTCCAACAGTATGAATGAGAGTTGTATGAATGGAACTCTGACGTACTACATCCACCATTTTGTCACGATCACGTGACCTACCGGCGTCAGTTGCTTCACTTTACTCCCATACATAAACTTCTCATGGTGTATCATGGGATAGCATAGCGTGCACCGGATGTGCACTTCAGAATCTTGCCGGATGAAGTAGGCCAACCGGGTACTTCTCACATACTGTTTTTCGAATTCTATAAATTCAGACATACTACTTGGCCCACATGCTGTTTTTAGCTTACTATATAGTATGGAAGTATGCGATTTCGGATGCAACCCTGGAGGGCCAGTGTCCTGCAGAGAATAGCTCCAAACCCAATAAAACACACCTGAACCAGTTTATCAAGCTCCTAACTAGCATACTAGAACTGTCCTGTCAGGTGTGTTGAAGCAAGTTGGAGCTAAACTTTGCAGGACACTGGCCCTCCAGGACCACGTTCGGTCACATGCTCTTAAAGAAGTTTAAGGAGTCTTAAAAACGGATCTGAATTATTTTTTACAGTACCGATCAAGCTCAGATCTTCTATAATTTGTCCCTCGAAGCACGTCTATGTGACTCACATTGTTTATATCTGCACTGAAACAGCTCATCTACATTACAGCCAGTATGAGGAAGATTTGTGCTCCTGAGGGCCTGTTGACTCAGCAGAGATGTTCGCTGCAGAAGCTCGTGTTTGCCTTCAAGTGATTCACCACATCCTGCTCTTAAAATAACATTATAGCGTTTGGCACTTGCTTTGTGAATAATGTACGACTGCAAGCTTCGCTGAAGAACCCAGAACGAGGGCCGATTAATATTTCATACCGTTTTCTTCATCTTCGTTTCATCAAAAATCCCTAGTGTGTCTGAATTAAATCACAAAAATGGTGTAATTAAAAGACATTTAGCCGAACTTACAGGTTTGAGAGACTTCACGGGAGACGTCTGACCTGCGGGCATAAACACAGATAAAGAAGGATATTAGAATCAGCAAGTACAGTTGGAGAAGTGTGTTACAAGACTAAATTATTAGACTGGGCTGTTTATTGCTGGAGAAAGGCTATTCGTCAGTTCCCTTATGCAATTTAAAGCCTCCAAAAGTGAACTGAGTCACACCAAAGTTAATTGTAATGATGTGCATTTCATATATTTAGGTCCATTTAAAAATAAAAATACAACATTTTATTAACAGTTATATTCATCAAAATAAGAGTGAGGTCACCTAACACATTTAGGAATAAAATACATATGAATTCAAATAAGGTGTTGGAAAATAAAATGACAAAATTTTAACCAAATACATTTTTTTTTATGTTCTCTTGATATTTTCTCTTTCGTAAAATTTTATTTCATATTTGTCAATATTATATTCATTGGAGTAGTAATTTTTGCACCCTGATCTTAAGCTTCCTAGTTAAATTAGTAGAGCTGTTTTGGCGTTGATACTGACAAATCTGAAATATATACACAATATCTTATTGTAGAGCATCGTGTAGAAAATATTCATTTAAAAAAGAGGGGTGTACTTATTTATGCTGAGCAGTGTATGATTAAATAAAAAAATATGTTTGCTTAGTGCTTAGTGTTTGCTTAGATTAAAAGTTCTTCACACTAAGAAATAAAGTACAAAAGCTGTCACTGAGGTTATTTCTTTAATAAAGGTCCATATTAATTTCTAAAATTCACATATTAGTACCTAAAATAAGGGTTGCACAATATATGGTTTGAGCAGTGACACAATAGTCACATCGCTTGATTAGATTATTTATTAAATATTAAAACATAAAGATATTATTATTTAAAAAAAATGTTTATACAAAGATGACCATGCTATTTTATGTTTGATTGTTCAATTTCTACTCCTGAATATTGTTAGGCTATCAAAAAAACAAGAAAATGTTATTTTACTTTGATCTGCTCTGTTGTATTTATATATGCTTGTAATTTATTATTATTCATGCAAACACACTGCATAAAAAATACTAATACGTCTCAATTTTTCTAAATAAATGAGATCTTTAAAAATAGAGTTAATCAATTAATCTGGTGAAATTATATTCATATTGCAATATGTACCACATGAAAACAAAATAGCGCAAAGTCAGATTTTTCCAATATCATACAGCCTTACCTAAAAAGTACAAAGTTTGAAAGACAATCTGAAAAGCCAATAAATCTCCCCAATGAAAGCTTTTATATCTATATTTTTAAGATTGTACCAATTATGTATGAAAAAACAAGCAAGCGTCTTTCTGAATGTGATTTTTTTGCATAAATGGGCAATTACTTTATTATTATAGCTATTATAATTATTATTATTTTCCATCAAAGAATGTCCCAAGTCTTTCACAGTTAAAAAAAATCACAGGCTGACAACCTAAAAAAATGTAATCTTTTGTTTGTTTTAATTTGATAAGTGATATTTCTTGACCAAATCAGCTCATCAGGATGATTTTTGAAGGATGATGTAACACTAAAGGCAACTTTCAGCTTTGCATCTTCATTTGCTTATTGAAATTGTACATAAACCAGTGCAGAATGTTTAATTCCTGAATCAGGACTTTAAATGAGTTTATGTGAATCCACTGTTCTAAAATCCATAGTGGCCACTAAGGGGCAGTGTACTCCACACTGCATCAATGAGTACTCGAACACTAAAGGAGATGACATTATTCACACAGTGCGGGTTTGATAGTTTGGCAAGCACATTTATATACAGTATGTGTGTGTAATATAATAAATACTGCATAATCGTTATTAATAGTAACACCACATAGCTTTTAAAAAAATGTGAAACATCAGAATCGGTTGTAAGTAATGCTTTGAGCAAATTTTAAGCATATAACCATGTTTGTACAAGCCGAAGATGAAACGTATGAATACGCTTGACCTTTAGCAGCCACAATCCATCGGCATCACTGTGACAGCTGAAACCTGGAAGTGAGCAAGTGAACAAAAGAGCCTGATATTTTCACTTGGGCTCCAGACAAACCACAGACTTAATGCAATATAGATCTGTGTGTACAGCCACTCTGCGCCCACTGCTGTGCATGCAAATACGGCCTTCAGCTTAATTAAAACACTGTCTGGGGATTTTCGCCACAGGTTTTGGAGAATGCAGAAATGGTATAGACTCAGTTTTCTCAAATTTCATGTATATAAAACTACTAATACAGTATCCGCAAAACCACAGCAGCACAAGAGACTTTTGTGAAGAAATGAAGTACGGTAATTAAGAATGACATTACTTTATCTTAATGACTTTACAAATGAACATTAATCACTTTGGTAACCTGCTGTCCTGAGAATATGAGATCCATTTTCAGTGTGGCGGTGTGCAAGCATGATTGCTCTTTCCTTTAGGCGTTAACTGTATTCTTGTGCTTTATGAAGATCAGGATCAGTACAATGTGAGAATCTCTCACTCACACATACAGTTATTTGGCTCTCACCATCTCAGATGCGTCTCACACTACTCTTTTCACACATTTTTAGCGTACAAAAGTTATTTTACCTTTTCACACACACACAAAAAATAAAGTTTCAGAGAAAAAATATAATTCTGTCTAAGTTTGGAACTACATGAGGGTGGGCAAAGGAGAGTGTTTTTATTGTTACCTAAAACCAAAACTATTAAAACAAAAGCAAAAATTAATAAATAAATAGATAGATAAATAAATACAATAATGTATATTTGTTAACATTAGGCAATGCATTACTTACAGTACTTTAAAATAAATAGGTAAAAACTGTATTATTGGTCAAACTAAGATCAATAAATGTTGTAGAATTACATTTTTATTGTTAATTCAGGTTAACTAACGCTTATCCAATGGTAACAAACGAAGCTTTAATGAAAAGTGTTACCACACAAATATTTGATGGATTTAAATAAAATAAAATGAATTAAAATATTATCATTTTTAAATAAGTCACACATGCTCACTAAGCCTGTATTTATTTGACTAAAAATACAGTAAAACTGTCCTACTGCAAAACATGATTTCAATTTAAAACAACAATTTTATAATCCTACATCAAAAATGTATTAGTTTTCACAAAACCTCAACATTAATAAAAAATATAAACAAGTCATAATAACTATCAGTGTTCAAATTATATCTGAAAGATCATTTAAGACCAAACACTCTGTGGCTGCTGCAAATTAAAAATTACAATCACAAAAATGCAGCAAAATTATACATTTGAAGCATATTAAAAATATTTGCATTGGTAATTGTATTTAAAATATTACTTTTAAACTGTATTTTGATAAATATACACATATTAAATTATTTTAAACTTGAAACTTCATTTACTCACCCTTCACTTTTTCAAAGCCTATTTGACTTTCTTTTTTTTGTTGAATACAGAATACTGAAATGTATATGAAGAATGCCGGAGGCTGGTTGAATTGACAATTCAAAGTATTTTTTTTTTCTGCTATGGAAGTCGATGGGTATCAACTTTCTTCAAAATATCCTTTTTTGTGTTCAACAGACAAAAAAAAAACCTCATAAAGTGGTTAGCACTGTCGCCTCATAGCAAGAGGGTCGCTGTTTTGAGTCCTGGCTAGGTCATTTGGCATTACTTTGTGGAGTTTGCATGCTCTTCTTGTGTTCATGAAGGTTTCTCCCACAGTCCAAAGACATGCGATATACAGTAGATGAATTGAATAAACTAAATTGGCCATAGTGTATGTGTGTGAATGAGTGTGTATGGATGCTTTTCAGTACTGGGTTACAGCTGGAAGGGCATGCGCTGTGTAAAACATTCACTGGATAAGTTGACAGTTCATTCCGCTGTGGCAACCCCTGATGAATAAAGGGACTAAGCCGAATGAAAAGGAATGAATGAACGATGAAGAGTAAATGATTAAGTAATTGTCATGTTTGAGTGAACTATCACTTTAAGATCACCAGTGTATATTCATTGTTTTTATGAGCTGTCTTTTGTATGAGCCTGTTTATTAAAATAACTGTGCCATAACTGAACCTACAAGTGTTCACTGACAAATAATAAGACAAATTATTTGTCACTGAACTGTTAACAATGTTATTTTTTCACTGATGGAAACAAGACAAAAGCTAAATAAAAAACTGTTTTAAATGAAAAAAAACTGGTAGAACTAAACTGGTTAGACTTTAATCAACTAAAAGATAATTTTCATATTAAATTTATTAGACTAAAACTACAATTGGCTTCATTCATTCATTCATTCATTCATTCATTCTCTTTTCAGCTTAGTGCCTTTATTAATCTGGGTTCGCCACAGCGAAATAAACTACCAATGAATTCAGAAAATCAAAATATCACATCCTAAATGGCATTTTAGTCAAAATTAGCTACAAAATTCTATTAAATTTAGTTGACTAAAACTAGACCACATGCCTAATTAAACACTCCCGATCAATGTAAGTGAGTCTTTTAGGCTCGTTTGAAACCTACAGGTAAGTGTGTTGGAGCAGGGTTGAAACTAAACTGTGCAGAGTTGCGGCCCTCCAGGAACTGGATTTGACATCTGTGATCTCGACTAAAACTACAATGAATTTAGAAGACTAAAATATGACAAAGGTGCAGTAGGTGATCTGCCAAAATGCTAATCGTTAGCATATTAGCTTTGGATGGCAGGGAAGGGATTGTGTTTCAAAGCATTGCCTCCTGAAATCGCAAACGTGCCCACCGCGACACGACAGCAAACCACCAACACACTAGTTCATGTCATTCGCCAGTTAGAAGTGGATGAAGTGGATGGCCCAAAGGCGTGCAGGAATTTCACTTATTACTAAGCCACACTTACATGCTATTTCAGAGCGAATATTCAGAGTAGTATGGTAAACAATATCGGGAGCTGTCATTGTTCATGGCTGTCATTGATCAGAAATGATCCAATGTGAATATAAAAGCAACTTCAGCTCAGTAAAGCAGGCTAGGCAGAATAGTGCTATTGACCAACGTTTTCTTGTTAAACTAAATATAAATCTACATTATTGATGCAGTAAAAAGCTCTTATGAAACTGAAAATAGTCACATCAATCTTTCACCAAGAGATTTCAGTGGCTAAACAACACGTCTGTGCATATAACCCATTTGTAATAAAAACATCTGCATCAGCTCTGTGTGAAGCTAAAATAGTTTTAAAACAGAACATTACCTGTCTAACAGAAATACTTCAGCCATGGTGTCGTCTTTTCTCCAGGTTGTAAAATTAACTCCAATATTGATTCAGGAGTTTAAAAAGTTTCAATTCAGCATTTGATTTCGCTGTGACAGTGACTGTCTCGTGTTGTGAACGCGCGAAGCTCATCTAGGCGTGCACAAACTAATGGCGGATATGCGTGAACAGAGATCCGCAAAAGCTCAAATCTGTATTTGTTTACAGACAGTTTGAGCTACTAATCAAAATTATGGGAGATGTCAGCTCGACAATATTTAATTGGATGAACATTTTTAGTTTTATGCCCTACCCAGAATATAAAAATACATTTAAACACATTTAGATCATTTACTGTAATTATTATTATTGGAATGTGAAGAGACTTTCAACCAGCACAACAAAAAATGTTTCTGAAGACAATCACCTACTGCACCTTTAAACTAATTGGCAATGGATTAAAACTAAAATCAAAGTTTGCAGTCAAAATGAGCACTGATACCCATATAACCCTCTTTGCCTCACCTCCTCTGAGCACCAGCACGTTGACCTCGCTGCCCACCGGCAGGTCTTTGAGAATGTCCACCACCTGCGCATGACTGAGCGTCTGCACGTTCTGTCTGTTGATCTCCTTTATGACGTCGCCCTTCAGCAGGCCCCGACACCACTGCGCGTCCAGAATCATCTTCACCTTCTGGCCCAGCGGACAGTCAGCAATGGCAAAGCCAAAACCACCCGGCCCCTTCACCAGTGGCACACTGACCAGCTCTGGCTGCAGGAGTGTGCTCTCTCCTGCCTCGGGGTGGCGTCCATTGGGCATCGCTGCAGCTGGGAGTCTGCCATCAGCGCTCATGTAATGGAGGTCTTGCAGGGGCGCGGTGCCATCTAAATGGATTGGCTGGCCGTCCATTCCTGGCATGGCGGTCATTATGTCTCCTGTGCCCTCTTCGCTGGAGTTGGTGTCCTCTGGCAATGGGTATCCACGACACAAGACCATATCCACATACTGGTTCACTGGGATTGACTGGAACATCTGCACCACATCTGCGTGAGTCTTGCCCAGCACACATGCACCATTTATGTCTACAATAACGTCACCTGAAGGAGACAGGAAGAAGGCGAATGAAGGAGATGCCGGCTGTGTGCTGAATCATAGACTGCTGCATGTGAAGACTATTAAAATGATCAAAAGTAAGCTATGATGAGTTATTATTACAAACAAGGCTAAATGACATTTACTTGGGACTGACAAATAAAAATGAATGTTTCTTTAATGTCAACATTAGATTCAGTGGCAATCATTAGCCACGTTTTTCTTTCTTGGATAAGAAGCCTGTTACAAATAGTAAACTAAGTTATGAGTAAGGCCAGACAGAATCTGTGGACACTTTTAGCTATTTCTGTGCAGAATTTTGTAAAAATTCAGATTTATGCGGAATGATTTTGGGAGTATCGCAACTAAAAACTTAATATATGAAATAAAAATTAAAACCTTTTTAATGTTTACAATACAAATCCATCTAGATCCACTTATTTGGTAAACAAAATTTATCTCTCATAAAATATATCTACTAAATACAGAATGTATTAATTTATAAACAGTATTGCGAATAAATCCAATGAACATTTTCATATTAGTCAATAATAGTACTGAAATTGATTTAAAAACTAAATAAATAGAAATGTACACATATTTACACAAGTAAATAATAGAAATCTGCGTTTTATTGCATGTGCATTTCATGTGGGCCTAGTTATGTGTACAGAGCACAAGACAATACTAAATTTGTTCTTCATTGAGTAGGAACTTAAATTTTTGGAACACTTTTCACTCGATTTACACACTATTATAACATTTAGAAATATTTCAAATTAGCTTTCATTTTCATAATCTTATATTTTAGTTTTAGCAATTTTGCTAAGTGATTTCAAATTGTCATTTTTTTTCAAACTTTTATTATTTTTTTATTGTTATGTTTGCAGGTTTAGTACTTAAGTTTCCAGACAAAAGTAATTGACTAACAGTAGTTTAATTTGTCTCTAAACCCCTTTTATATATATATATATATATATATATATATATATATATATATATATATATATATATATATTTTATATATTTATATATATATAAATACTAGTAATGAAGTCAGAATTACTAGCCTCCCCATTTGAATTTATTTTCTTTTTAAAAATTTTCCCAATTGATGTTTAACAGAGCAAAGAAATTTTCACAGTATGTCTGATAATATTTATTGTTTTATTTCGGCTAGAAAAAAAACTGTTTTTAATAAAAATGTATATATATGAATTTTAAGAACAATACAATTAGCTACTTTAAGCTATATATTTTTTTCATTTGTCACTTTAAGCTGTATAGAAGTGGTGTCTTGAAAAATATCTATTCAAATATTATTTACTGTCACCATGGCAAAGAAAAAAATTAATCAGTTTCATAAATCGGGACTGTTTTGAGCATAAATTACAAATATAAATATGAAACGCAATGTGTTTAAATTAACAATTTAATTTGGGTCACACTTTCCAATAAGGTTCATTAGTTAATGTTAATTAATGCATTTACTAACATGAACAAACAATGAACAATACATTTACTCTTGTATTTGTTCATGCTAGTTAACGTTAGTTAATGAAAATACAGTAGTTCATTGTTAGTTCATGTTAACTCATGGTGCATTAACTAATGTTAACAAGTTTGTACTTGGATGTTAATAATGCATTATTAAATGTTCAATTATGATTAATAAATGCTGTACATGTGTTGTTCATGATTAGTTCATGTTAGTAAATGCATTAACTAATGAACCTTATTGTAAAGTGTTACCTAAATTTGTGTTAAATTTGTGCTTATTGGAATATTGTGTTTAACAATTCATTAAACAGCAAAAAAGCAGTTGCAGTGGATTTTCTTATATATACCTACTTCTGGACAATCTAAAGCAGCACTGCATCCTTAACCAGATAGTTAATCCAAAACAACTATTAATTGAACCCAAAACAAAATATTTCCAAAAAATATTTATGGAAAAAAAAAAAAAACAACTATTGTCATCCATAGTAGCAACAAAAAATACTACGAGAGTATTTTCCCAGCATTTTTCAGTATACATTCCTACATGTTCAACCAGAAAGAAACTCAAACTGCATCAAACTGCTTCGGAACAAGTTCATTTTTGGGTGAACTATCTAGTAGTCTACACAACTTAAGAGCTATGGCATTAGCTTTAGCTTATCATCATGCTAATGCACTTCATATAAAGAGCGTTGTTTATGTTTAAGTATAGTTTCCATCTCAGCGGACTCTTCTAAATCAGTTTCTAATAAGATTTTATTACGCGTGGTGTTTTTGAAGGCTGTTGTGCATGTGGACACTGTGCAGCTGACTGTGATCTGGGATCGGTTTCAGCTCAAACACAGATCCTGCCACTGTGTTTAAACTGTTCATTTCGAGTCTTGGCTCCTTCTGTTATACTCTGGGGAAAGCGAACGAGTATGATATTCAGTGATAAAGAGCCAGTGGCCACAGATCCATTACTCCAGCTCAAGTCAATGATCCGCTCAGTCGGTGCAGTCTAGTCTGTCTATCTAATGGTGAATGTGTCTATTGATCAGTGCAGAGGACGGTGGGGGGATTCCTGTATGCTTTTGTACTCTGGAACAATCAATGGCATCCGTCCAGGCGCGCTTCACTTCTTGAAAGCGATTGTTCTACCTGAGTCATCCTGCTGCTCATACTGTAATACCGGCACACCATCTGCCAAAGATTCTTTCAGGAGCATCATAGCTTTCTACTGTAAGTCAAGACAATCTTATGGGTGAAATTAGATGTTATGTTTATGAAAAAGCTATATTATTTCTTACTGGCTATCTGATGAATATTGCATAAGAAAACCTGAATAATATAAAGTAAGAAAAAAGCAATTTTCAGAGTATATATTCAGATTCATTCATATTTTTAAGGTTATTAAAAACATAGTCAAACCCAAAAAGCAATATTTTATTACTTATGTCATTATAAAATGCTTCATTCATTTTTAGAACACAAATTAGGTTATTTTAAATGAAATTCCAGAGCTTTCTCATATTTGCTATGTACAATATGATGCTTGAATGTAGCACTACAGACTCTAATAGCTATACGTGATATTGCCTGTAGTAAATGCACACCTTGACGAGAATGCAGGAGCAAGCTTTAATGCATAAACATTAGACATTGGTGAATGAGCCATGTTTACATTTATTTTTAACACAAAAAAATGTTCTCTGGCTTTAGTTTGATTATGGTTAAACCAATGAAGTCCCACAGAATGTTTTAGTTAAAGTTCTGAACTTCTCTGCCGTTTATGGAGGCCAGAGAGCTCTCAGATTTCATCTAAAGTATCTTAATTTGTGTTCTCAAGCAACTGGAAAGACATAGAGAGAGTAATTAATAACATAATTCTTATTTTGGATAAACTAGTCCTCAATACTTTTAATAATAAATTACAATATATTATAATAATAATAAACTAGGAAATCAATTTGATTATTCGTTAAAGGGATAGTTCATCCAAAAATGAAAATGTGCCCAATATTAACTTTCCCACAAGTGGTTTCAAACCTTTATGAGTTTCTTTATTCTGATGAACACAAAATAAGATATTCTGAAGAATGTTGAAAGAGTGTAACCATTGTCTTACATACCAGGAAAAACAAATACTATGGAAGTCAATGTTTACAGATTCGTTATGCTTCAAAATATATTCTTTTGTGTTCAAGAGACGAAAGAAACTCAAGTTTTGAATAAGATAATAGTAAATAAATTATGAATTTTTGACTTGTGACATTTGACTTGTGTCCTCTGCAATGGACATTGCGTTTTCATCAATGTACTTTGAATTTTTTGAGCTACTCTGTCAAGTCCGGTTGTACTGTTCAGAGGGCATCCTGGGGTTTCTAGTGACATGACATTTGATTGGCTGGCATGGTAGGAACCACTTCTCACACTGCATCAAAAATGGCGGACGTACAAAAAAGCACATTTTAGGAAGGAAAGAGTAAAATTTAGCTTTTTAAATGGTATTGTACTACTATTATTATTATTATTACATGTGTAATTGTTTATTAAAGTGTCAGGAACAATACATTTAGCTTTCAAAGCTGTTAACTTGTTTGTGTTTCAAAATATCATCCTTTTTTAAACGTCCACTACAGTGGACATCAGGACCATCTTAATTTAATTAATGACTGCATGTTGTAGGAGGCAGAACTGAGGCAGAGAGGATTCTTTATAAAATAGTTGAGGGAGACTCTGATTTAGAGTATGACAATCAGACAATTAGAGAATTAGAGACAATTAAAGAATGACAATCAGTTTTAAATCACCTTTATGTTAAATTTCTTCTTAAGTTAAATCACTTCTTTTTTTGAGTTTGGCTCTCTTTCAGACTAAACTGTTTTAAGAATTTCAATACAAAAGGAAAAAAATGTCTTTTGTTTTGTTATCGTTGCATGAATATAGGATTTTTATCCCTTTTCAGCCATATCCTGTACAGTTTTGTTGTCTGAGTGGCAGTTGTTTTGAACTTAAGTGGTCCTGTGGTCCACAAAAGTGGACATGCTGTAAAACTAAAAATAAAAACAAAATGTAAAAACTCTAAATTGTATCATATTTTTTTTACCCAAAGGATGTAGGAAATCACAGAAAAAAAGAAAAACGATTCTTGGGGTCTCGGGTTGATTTATTTTTATTTTAATTTAAACTTTTTAAATTAATCCCCATCCTAAAATCACATGCAAACACAACCATTCTTTGCTTTGCATGTCGTTCAGATGCTCTCTTCCTATCAGCGCGTAGTTACTTCGCCCAAATCACCTTTAATGAGGATCAAACTTTATGGTGCAAGTCTAAAGTCTGGCCATGCAAAACAAACAGCAAATAAACATAAGTAAACAGTGAGAGTCTACAATTAAACTTCTCTTAATAAAGGATAAATGTTACGGCGGGTCAAAAACAGGCTCATAAACACACCCTTTATGGCTTTTGCGATAGCTTGTTGACACACGGAGGAATTTGCATAAAGAAATTGGATGCAGATGAATTTAGCCCTCAGCATGTGCCAGCTGAAGCATGTTTACTGCACCGCACTCCAATCCACAATTAAATGTATATCTCGGTTAAACTGTTTTACGATCCTCTGTACAGACGGTTGTCTTCGGGGAGCTCAAGTACACTGGCAGTTGTTTGCTCACACCGAGTGTTTGGGAAAGCGCTGCAATTATCGCCAAACGCGACTCTGCAGGAAAGCCAGTTCCCCTGATGCTCACCCACTGATTCTGATTTATTCTATCGCTTTCTGTGTGATCCCGCTGTGGCCACTTTCACACTATTATTTACTTGAGATCTGACAAAACAACTGCACACCAAAAAATGGATGTGGTGGCTGACTTATTGTACCGTTTGATAAACATAAATGAAGTGGGGTGTTAAAGTGCATTGTGAGACTTGGATCAAATCTAACCGTACATCCAGAATCTTGCAATTCTGTAATTACAGATTTTAATGCAAAATCAAGCAAATGACACAAAATCCAAAGCAGTTTGCAACTTTTCAAACTCATTTAGCCAAAGTGTAGTTGATGAAGGCAGCGAGACTCGATTGATTTCACCTACAGTAGCTTCAACTGTGATATAAAGAAAAATTGCTTTACTTAATGGATCAAAGTGGGCAATTATATAAGTTTATTATACAGTAGAATGGCAATGCACTCACATTAAATTTAGTTAAATATAATTTCATACTCTTAATCTTTGAATAATCTGTCTTTAATAAGACAATTACTTTGATAATTTTTTGATAATCAAATGTAGGGGTGTGCGAAGAACAAAATTTTTAAGTATTGGGTCTGCAGTTTCAGTAAAGAATTACACTAAACAACAAGTAAATCAATCAATAGATAATATAACAATAAACATTTACACAGCAGTTGACTGACGATCCTTATCGTCAGGTGGATCTGCAGTGCAAATTATTAGAGAGCATACGTTTTAGGGTCAAATTGAAAATTTAAGTGCTTAGTTTTATGATGTACTTCTGTAGGGGCATCCGCCACATAAAACACATGCCAGTGTAATTGGCGGTTCATTCCACTTTGGCAAACTCTGATAAATCAGGGACGAAGGACAGTGAGGGAGTTTTAAGATGAAAGCTCTGCCATTTTTTTTTTTTTAAATTGTAAAGCAATACAAATGCCTACCATGCTGATTAAACAACCCAAATACATCATATTTGCTAAATTTTCTTCATGTTTTTAATTTGTAGAAGAGAACTGTCAACAAAAAAACTTATTCTAACTGATTAAAGTCCACTGTGTATCAATGAAGATACAGTAATCTTGGTTAATAGGTAATCACTTAATTTATTCTCTTAATATTTTTAAGCTTAAAAATTTTAAAATTAAATTAAATAATTAGATTTTTTTATCATCATTTTAGGCCACAAAAATTTGAAAAAATGTGTAGTTAAATGAAGGAAATAGTAGTTTTCCTGAAGGAAATTATTGAATTACTTGAGGGCTCATCCACATTCATGAAGTAAGCAACACATTGACTCCAAACTGAAGGAACAGGTGGTGACTGGATTTACCTGAAGCGATTTTGTTGTCGTGTGCGGCAGGTCCATCTCTCAGGACGTTCTTCACTTGAAGGAACTCATCTGGTCGATCTCCACCGATGATGGTAAAGCCAAAGCCCTGAGGACTTTTCTTCAGTGTTGTGCGCAAGATGGCACCCTGCAGCTGAGACGGGTCCCGCGTGAATCCTCTCAAGCCAACTTCACCTGAATCAACAAATATCATGTGAGACTAACAGTTTAAAGCTTGTTTTTACTTGTTCTTTTCAGCAGCCTATTCGTGTTTTGTGTCATTTTCACTTCACGTACAGCCGATTTGGTCAGCCAATTAAAAACTAAATTACAAGAAAAAAAAAACTAAACTAAACTAAACTAAAATAGACAAAAACAAGCACTGGAAGAAAGTTCACACTGAGTGAACCAGAGAAAGATATGGACAGGGAGTCCATTACTCATTCATATTCAATAATGCAAGAGAGAGAAATGGAGAGAGCAAAAGACACATCACAAAATGAGTGAATGATAGTGGGATTGTTCTGTAAATATCCACATACACTTCAATTAATCATTTAGTCCATTTATTACAATACTACAATGACTTCTCAACATTTACTCCTCCTAGCATCACATTCACAAGAGTGTTCCTGTTAAGATCTCTAAATAATAACCATAGATTAAATGCTCAAACAACATTTGGCAATGCCTTATCTGCTAAAATAAGCTGATAATGATCCTCTACACACACAGACTCAAATACAAATTAATTTTTGGTGTCAGTGAGCACATGCAAAACGACCACTTGTATGAATTATGTTGCCATGGTGACACCTCTAAGCTGAGCGACTAATAATAAACTTTAAACACACAAACAGGATTTTTGTTAATAATGCTAAATAAATGGACACAGATGTGCATTTAGAGTTCATATGTTCTTATTATAAAATCAAATTAAATAATATTGACCAAGGTTTGATCAAAATATTGTATATTTCCAAAAATATTATTATTCATTCATTCATTCATTTTCTTGTCGGCTTAGTCCCTTTATTAATCTGGGGTCGCCACAGCGGAATGAACCGGCAACTTATCCAGCACATTATTACGCAGCGGATGGCCTTCCAGCCGCAATTTATCTCTGGGAAACATCCATACACACACATACACACACACACACTCATAAAGTATGGACAATTAAGCCTACCCAATTCACCTGTACCGCATGACTTTGGACTGTGGGGGAAACCGGAGCACCCGGAGAAAACCCACGCGAACGCAGGGAGAACATGCAAACTCCACACAGAAACGCCAACTGAGCAGAGGCCCGAACCAGTGACCCAGCGACCTTCTTGCTGTGAGGCAAACGTGCTACCCACTGCGCCACTGCGTCGCCAAAATATTATTATAATTTAAGATAACCATTCTCTCTTTTAAACATGCTTATGGTAATTTATGTGTGTATTAAGTGTAATTTCCTCTAGTCTTCAGTGTTACAATGCTTCAGAAATCATTTTTAAATGCAGATTTGGTGATATTATCATTTAATAATCTAGAAAAATGTCTTAAAAATACTTTTCCAGGAGTCTGTCAGTATACAATCTTTATTTATAAATCAAGTTTATACATTTATTTATATTTAATTTACACATTTTATAAATATATTCATAAAAACATTTGTTGCCAAATTAAATTTTCATCGACTTCAGACAAATGCTAAATTGTATTTAGGATCTCAAGACACAGAGCTTCTGGTAGTACACATAGTAAAGTCTAATAAAGGAGGTCAAGCCTTTTCATTTATGGCTCCTAAACTCTGGAATAGCCTTCCTGATAATGTCTGAGGCTCAGACACACTCTCTCAGTTCAAAACTAGATTAAAGACCTACCACACAATGCATCACATACCTATATGATACATGAGTGTGCGCCATGCAGGTGAGTGGGCTTGACAAACCACCTGTAGGACACACTTCTCCTGTCTTAATGCACCAGACATTTAGTTTGAAATACTCGTATGCTTTACATCAGCAGCTATGCTAATTATTATTTTATTCCCTAATTCCACCTGGGGATACTCATCCCGAGACTCTAGAGATTATGCAGTGCCATTGATGTACTCTAAGACCTGTGAAGAAATGATGCCAAAGTATCCATAATCCTGGACAAGGTTGTATCCCAAGCTGATGCTGTTGCGGTCATGGAGGAGCGGAGAGCAGGAAACTGATACCTGAAAGACCACAATGACAGACGAGTCTTTGCATTGATCCTATCGGCCAGCCTGACCAACTGCTGGTGACCTACTCAGACCTGCAGCTTCTCTACGATGGACGTCCAGTGTTTCCAGCCTCCGGTGCCTAGACTGCATCTTTGCACAAGAAGTTTGGCCAGAGGAGAAGTAGTCGTGCCCAACTGAGCCTTGTTTCTCTCAAGTTTTTTTTTTTTCCTTCACTTTCGTTAATTGGTGAAGTTTGTTCCTCGCCACGGTCACCACTAGCTTGATTGGTTTGGTTTGTGGAGCTGTGCATTGATGGATTTGTTCTTCAGGGTCACCAAACTTGTTCCTGGAGGGCCGGTGTCCTGCAGATTTTAGCTCCAACCCTAATCAAGCACACCTCAACAGCTAATCAAGGTCTTTTATGCATACTTGAAACACTCAGGCAGGTGTATTGAAGCAAGTTGGAACTAAACCCTGCAGGGACACCAGCCCTCCAGGACCAAGAGTCTTCAACTTCAACTCTGAAAGCTGGACTGACTCAGTTTCAGTTTACAAGAACTTCTATGTGAAGCTACTTTGACACAATCTATATTGTAGAAGTGCTATTGAAATAAAGATGAATTTAATTGAAAAAAGTATACTAAAATAGTGAAGCATTATTTATTTATTTTACTAATCTTTATATTACTTAATCCAAACATATAAATAATAGTGGATCCAAAAAGATGGAGAGTAATATTTGGTATCTGCTTTCCAGTACTGGCGGAGAATATTGCACATTTCCAAATTCTATTTGACAATTACAAGCCATTACATAACCCCCAGGAGGATTTTGAAAATGATGTGTAGAAAGTGCCTATTAAATAAAAGTGTCTGTTTTGTACTGTTCAACAAGTTATGTGATGCACATCAGAGCTGAGCACTTCCATCAGATAATCACATGGAGTTATGAAACAATACAGAGTGAAATCAGCACTTCACACTTCACCTGTTTGATGAAAAGAAAGAGTTAGAGCAGCATTTCTGCCTTTTTTAGTCGCTACAGTGTAGGTTTTATTCATTTTTACATTTGGGTTGATGTTTACATAATTCCAGCTCTGGTTTCAGATCAACCTTAAAGTCACAAATGGAAATCTTTTAATGGAATATTAGTGTTTATTATAACACAGTGTGTATTTATCAAACAAACACTGCCACCTAACAACAAGTTTAGTGATGTTGGTAAGACGTCAAGTGGAAACTCTTGATGAGTTCAAATCCACGTTACTTTTTTTCCTTTGATATTACCAAAGTAGATTACATTTATTTAAAATAATTGAAATATTCAGTGGGTATTAAATAAGAAAGTGTTTTCTTTTAAAAAAGTTATTTATGATTATGGCTAATGGTAGGTGCAGGGACAGCTTTATTACTTTAAAAAGACACAAATGGTTTAATTTATATATATATATATATATATATATATAATTTTTTTTTTATTATTTTTTTTAAATAAGAAATAAATATATTTGTATGTGTAGGTTACCTATATGCACATCTCTGATGTGAACAGCGAAATATTGATTTGCACACACTGACAATAATCAAAACACATTTATTTTGAATTTGAAGTTGCAGATTAATAGTTGTGTATTTGTAAAATGTCATTCACAAATACAAATAGACAGTGTAGAGCAAATTTGATTGCACATTGTTCTCACATTTAGATTTGCAAGCTCTCGAGATTTGCTACCGAGTTACCTTCATATTATACTGGGGTTCTAATACCTGCCACTATTTCCGCTACATATAATTATCTAAAAAAACAACAAAAAATTAAATAATCACAAATAAAATACAATTTATTGACTACAGTGTTAAAATAATATTTTCTATTTAAATATATTTCCTATGTAAATAGCCACTGCACAAAAAAAGTATCATCAAAAGGACTTCTAAATTGGGCAGAAACTCCTCTACGCATCACTGATGATCAAGTTCACCTGTGCGAGGGCGGTTAAACCTGTCAATCAAATGAGAATAACCAACAGCAATCTACGGCAACACAATGATTGAATCAGTTTCTAATGGACAAGATTAATTGTTGTCTTACATTTAGCATTGTGTAAAAAGTCATTTGACAAGACAACTTTATGCTATGTACAAATCTCACAATACACATTACAGCAAGAGCTGTTTTTTCAAAGTGTCTGAAATGTTTTGTTCAAGTATTGGTTATTCCTAAGCCCCGCCTTTCTGAGAGTCTGTTCTAATTGGTCACCCTAGTTTTTTCAGATGACCAAATCTGAATTTCAGAACAGTAACAATTTTCTCAATATTAATAATTTTAGATAATTTTCCAGTGATGGATTGCAGCTAGATGGACATCCACTGCGTAAAACATATGCTAGTTAAGTTGGCGGTTCATAACGCTGTGGCGACCCCGAATTAATAAAGGGACTAAGCCGAAAAGAAAAGGAATGAATGAAAACTTTAGATACACTGTTTGAGACTACAAGTATAGAAATGCAAATAGCGAGTATAAACTGGCAATATGCAGATTTATTTTGTGTATTAAAAAAGATTTAAATTGCTAATGACATATTTCAGGCTTTTTAAAATGGTTTATACTAGTGCTGCACAATAAAATGTTTCAGCATCCATATCGCAATGTGCACATCTGCAATAGTCACATCACAGAATCTGCAATGTTGAGTTAGTGTTTATAATGACCATGAAGCACGTTTCAGAACATGATTTGTGGAGTAATCGCAAATTTGAACAATAATGCCTCATTCAGACTAGCAGCGACTTTGTAGCAACCTATCGCTCAGTGTGGCGATCTGGCACGGAAAATACAACCGGCCTCTGAGTCAGCTGAGAGAGGATCAAGTAAGCTCTAATGGTGTTCCTAATTGTCTGTTGCTCAAGAAAGTCAATCTTCATTTGCATAAAGCTCTCAACTTTGTCGCATCGCTCGACATGCCCACCTGGTCGCCAACGGTGTTGCTGTTGC